TCACGTTGCCTGACGCTCAGTTGGGCAGCCATGCATCCAACAGCAGGGCACTTGCAGCTCAGCGTCCGAAGTTCCAGTGCCACGACTTTCCAACACAACTGTTCATTTCAGGGTTGGCCATCAATCGTGGCCAATGCGAGGACACTCACGAAACACCTCCGGACGTTATCCCAGTAGTTATTTCAAAACGTTTTAGCATCAACGTCAATCTCTCCAGTCATTGGTTGACCGACCGACCCCGCAGCTGGTCGGATTTGAGACCCAATGGTTGATACATTGTTGATGTCCCTTGACACCGAACTTTATCCAGTGGTCGAATCTTGTCGGTGAGGGACGGTTACACCGTGCCTGTATTCCCGTTGGCTTTCTCGGCGGTTGCAAGTCACCAGAAATAGCTACTGCAAGCGAAGCACTTCGACCTCGAGTCACTACGTTCACCACTGTCCATGAAACCGTGATGTAAGCATGTCATCCCATCTCGCTTCACGTCCCAAACAGGACTTGTAGCCTTGACGAACTCCCGGGTAAATCCTCATGGACATAATTTTTGGACGGGTCGCCATGTCACGCGTGTCGAAGTTCGGTGTAGGCAACGTGTGAAAAGTAAACAGTTTGAAGGCACCGCTGCCCGATCGGGAAGCAGATCACCGGAAAACCCAAGCTCCTCACTATACCAGGCGAAGCTGGTTACCAGAAGCTGATCACCAGCGGGCTGACCCAACGCCCTACTGGAAAGGGGGGTTTGATGTCTCGATACACGCAAATATCAAGGTCGGGAATGCCAGCGACGCCGATCATATCACAAACATCCAGAACACAAACCCGTCTCCCATCCATATTTGTCGCAGGCGCATTTTTTTTGGCGTACGAGCCCCCAAGTGTGCACACAATCCCCAGTATAAGTAACCAATACCCCTGCCCCGTACGCCGGAAAACAAACAGAAGATTCTATTGCTCTCCAGACCATTGTGCCGTTCCGTCGTCCACCCAATGTCTGTCCCACTTCCCCATAACCAGATCAGACGGTCCCACTAATGCTCAGCTCTCGAATCTCCTGCAGAACCTGCTCGACCCTGCTGTCCAGCTGGCCCTGTGCGTACTGCTCGCGCGTGTCTGGGTCGAGGTATTGCTGGACCTGGGCCATGCGCGAGTAGGCCTCGGCGCAGAAGCGCAGCTGGATCTTGACGAGCGCCTCGAACGAGGGGTCGAGGTACGGCACGCGCAGGTCGATGAGCTGCGGCAGCTCCGAACACAGCTGCTCATTGAGCTGCTCGTACGCCGCCTTGGCCATCTCCATCTCCTTCTCGGCCCGCGGGAGCTTGGTCACGTCCTTGTCGGGTTTCTCGACGAGCTTCTTGACCTTGGCGCGGAGCGCGTCGTAATCGAGGAGTTTGTGGCCGCGCTTCTTGATGCCTGTCGGGCATGTTAGAAGAAAGGTACGAGTTGAGGAGGGAAAAAGGGAGATTGGCGACGCACACTCGTTTACGTCTGGGAAGTAGGCGCAAAACCGTGAAATGGGCTCCAGTACTGTCGTTCGGTATGGCCCGTCCAGGGCCTTGATAGTCTCCGCGTCGAGGTCCTCCACCGCCTGCTTGTAACTTCTGCTCACGCCGTCTTTGGCGCCGGAATCCCCGTAAAACGCATCGATTGTTTCCGCAATCCGCATTTGTGAAGCCGTCATTGCTGTGTATTCGGGTCAGCTAGGGAATTGACCCCTGAGTCGTTCCTCGGCCGTACCTCTCAGAGAGTCAAGGTACCCTTTTGCCTCTTTTTGCAACCGCAACGACGCGGCTTCCATTGTCCGGAATCGCCTGGTGCCTGTCTCAGTATTCGTGTTCTTGGGGATATCGTGCGGGCTCTTAACTGTCGCACCTCTCCTCGACTTCGTAATCCCGGTCGTTTGTCTTTTCGACATGGCCTGTTACAACGCGGATCAGCAGTGACCAGCAAAATGTTGGCGCGCGAACCTCAGGAAAAGCGGACGAACCAGTCTTCATCATCACCTGCGTCGTAGCGCGGTTGACATTCTTCTTAAAACCTCCTCGGGCGTTAGCATGGGCTACCCGGAGAGCAAGGTGATCGAGAGGTTAGGTACCGGCCCAGGACATGTTGGACAACTGATCTTCGCGCCGGCAGAATTGGGGTCTCGAGAATGCTAACAAGGTGCACGGGGAAACTGCAGACGGTAAAGAAGTCGTGTATGCGGGGCGAAACGGGTATCGTTCGATTTGAGAATGTCCGGAAGATGCGCCTCAGGATAAGGTAACCTGGAAACACAGATCCTTGCTGTGCCTGAAGGGGACCAAAAAGCGTGACGAAAGTTGTCTGTGGCGGTGCTGCCCCTCGTTGGTGCCCAGGCGCCGCGCAACCAAGCCACCAACGACGTCAGCAAGCCGGCAAGGCACGGGTGAACCCCTCGGCGAGTGGGTCACCGCCGGACATTTGTTACATGGGCTTGCTGACCCATGCATCCAGCAACTTCTTCGCTTCCCATGAAATCGTCACTGCACGTCTGCGAGCACTACGGAGGCGTCGGTGACTGACGCGCCGGCGTCAGGGCATACAATAGGGACCTACGCGCTCTCTTTATCGTGGGAGATGCTCTCTTTTCTAGCAAGAAAGGTACCCTCCCACGTAACTGCGACGCTTTAAACCGCCACGCGTCTGCGAAAAAGAAGAAAGGCATAACAAGTACTCCACATAGACCAATTTGCTCATTTCCTGACAAGACGCACGAACACCTCACGGCGCTTACTTTAATGCCTGCCTAGACGACCTAGAAGTTAGCACAAAAGAGAACGACAGCAAAAATCCAGCTCTTAACAGGCACGCTCAACCCGCAACCATCAGACACCATGTCCCTCCGCCGGATCCTCGTCATAAGCCTTGGAAACCCCGGCGAGTACCGCAATACATATCACTCGGCCGGCCACATCGTGCTGGAGGCCCTACAACGACAACTCAGCCAAGACCAGCCCTCATTCGCGCCACAGCGCATCGGCAAGCAGAACACCCTCGCCTCGATCGGCGCGCGCTACTCGTTGCTGCAGAGCCCGGCCGTCATGAACGTGTCCGGGCCGTGGGTCGCCAAGGCCTACAAGGAGCACCTCGCCGAGCGGGGCCTCGCGCCGTCTGAGGTCGGCGTGGTGCTCGTGCACGACGATCTAGAGGAGGAGCTGGGCGTGATTAAGATCCGGGATTGGAAGAGGAGCCATCGGGGGCATAACGGAATCAAGAGCGTCAATGGGGCACTGCAGGCCCATCCGGCGGGGAAGTGGGCGCGGATTTCGATCGGCATTGGGCGGCCCGATGCGAGGGACAAGGCGAGCGTGTCGGACTTTGTGTTGGCCAAGATGCCGAGGAGCGCGAGGGATGTGTTGGAAGGGTCGGGGAGTCGGGGGGTGTTGCAGGCGCTGATAGAGTTAGAGACCAAATGGGGTGTTGAGGCGTGAGGGTTTAGGGTTGAGTTGTCTTGGAAACTGCTTTGTGATACCCGTTTCGTGAGGTTATTGTTTACCTTGCTCTGAATGCCACTATCGAGTAAAAGTTGGTCGGTCTTCTCCGTCTCAGATATCCCACGTTAACCCAGCCACGCGGAAACGACAACTCCTCCGACCACGGTGCTCCACAAAATCCTTCAGATAGTGTCGTTTCTCCATCCTTTGCCCTCCCTGTCCGAGTCAGCATTACTCAGGCCCCGACTCGAGTACCTGCGACTAGGTTTTTTCCGCCCCTTGCTGTCCGCCCTGAACGTCATCTTCAGCTGACTTCCCAGCACTCCATCACACGACCCTCGTGACACCCTTACTATCCCAACAGAGAGACCTACCACCTCCCCATTCTGCATAAGATACTCTTCACCAAGTTGGAGATTCGGCCTGCGCGACCTGGAATCTGGCAGAGCGTCGTGGCGCTAGGAAGGGCCTCCAGCTGAAACAAGCCAGTTCGCGGCGCCACGGGTTCGTCTGTTGGATCGCTGGCCGCCCATGGCTAGGTCAAGCCATCCAGCGAGGCCATACCATTGTGCTGCAATACGAGATGTTGGCCGTTATGAATCCCGTCATGCGGGAGCGTCAATGTTGTTGGTGGCAAATTTGCTTGTCCATGCCCAAGGAGGTCAGACGCCGCCAACCAGGCGCAGGGAGCCGTGTTATTCCCCACAATCAGCAACTGAGCGGCCGCCTGCCATCGACGACAACATCAAACTGTGCAAGCATACCTTTAGGTCGAACAGACGCCCATGTCACTCCGAACCACTCCATCCTGTGGTCTTGTTCCGGCCTCTTACCCATCACTCTGCCCCTTGCACCGTTGTAATGACCACATATTGGATTCAGGAAATTAGCAAGCACCTCGCCGAGACCGCCCACATTATTTACTTGATATTGTCCCTGACCTTGTGCGGAACTTTAGGCCTCCCTATCTGTCCTCATTGCTCCCAGAACTTCTCATCCAGTGTTTCTTTTCACATTCAGACCTTTGGCCGCTTGTAAAGTCAATGTCTCCTCATGCTCAACGGCCGCTCGCTGGTTTGTATATACATGCCGAAGTTAGCAACCTCCTTCCAGCGCCATGGTCTTTCATGGGACCCGACATCAACAATTGACTTCACCAGGATTCCCGTAATGCAACATTACTGTTAACAACCTTCACCCTTTCAACCAACCATCGTTGTTCTTATTCCCAAATTACAACTTGGACCCCTTCTTCCACACACCCCCAACCGGCCCAGCCCCGTCTCCGATCCCCACCACAGTTCCCTCCTCCTCGCCCTTTTGGTCTGGGTCTCCTTCGAGCGCCGACCGCGGCACCTTGAGCTTGATGCCGATATTGTCACCTTTGCTGGCCCATGAGTAGGATGAAGAGAGGGAGGGAGTGTGGCCATGGGGATTTTCAACCGGATCCGGGCCGTTGCTGGTCTCGGCCTTGAGATCGCTGGGATCGCCCAGCTGTGAGGGGTTGGCCCCCGTGCCTTGGGCCTTTTCGGCGGCGAGTTGGCGGAGAGGTTTGTGAGGCATCGTGGCTTTGACAATGTTCTTGATAGGATTGGGTTTGACCGAGTTTCTGTAATTGGCCTTACAGTATGTTGAGAATCTTCAGGGGAAATTCAATAGTGTCCCAGACCAGGCTGGAAATGAAGTTCCACAACTTCCTATGCATGCTCTTTTGGTATCATTTATCCCGTGGCTTTATTGTAGGAGTAGAATCTGGGCTTGCCGTGTGTGGAGGTCTGATGTCAATGCCAGGCGATGACGTCGTTGAGACCAAACGTGTGGGATGAGCCGAGGTTAAGGCCTAGCTATACCGAGGAGATGGAAGATTGGCGCAGCGAGCAAGCCGTAATTGAATGACGGATGGCTGCCGCATTCGCCAAACTGTCTACTGAATGTTCGTCCCCTAATTCTAAACGATTATCTGCCGATGGTTGCAAGCGTGCCTTGCTCTCTGAGATCATTTCCACAGCGTCAGGGATCTTGATGATGGCTTAATTGCAGCTGTTCCCGTTTACATATCGGGTCATTCGGCATGCACTGCAAAAGAGTATTTTTAAGGGAGTAGCTCCGAATTCATGGATGTCACGTACTTGCTAGGGTGAACGAATGACCTGCCATAGATTGTTAGGTAAGTACTGTACTTCTCACTAGGGATCAGAACCTCCATTGCATTCTGGTACAGTACCCAGGTCCGGAGTTGAGGTGTCTTGAAGATTGGCACTGATGTTGAACATTGATACTAGCAATACCATTGCTCTATCCGTCTTCTAGCTAGGCTCCTAATCCATGCTTGCCCCGCCGGTGCCCCTGTGCCATTCACACTCATCGGGCTCAATTCATATGTCCAATCCATTCGTCAACACATATACTCATTAGTCCGACCCATTATCAACGATATTTCCTGTTACGCGATAGCTTCCATCTCGTACGGCTTGATGACGGCTTGGACTGCGGCGCACTTGATCTCGCGGCTGGAATATATCTGGCCGATGGTCCAGTTCGGGTTCTCCCACGTCGTCTCGTTGCAGCTCAGCGTCAAATTGACGTCGCCGCGGCCAGTGAATGTGGCCCTATTCACACCAATCAGTACCGAGTCCCACTCGATCTCGCAGAGAAGTACTTACGGCCACTGCGGCTCCTTATCGTTGCACGTCCAAGTCTGATTCACCCGCAGCCGGTTGTTGGGCCGGGCAAAATCAAAGCTGGTCGACCCGACCCGCTGGGTGTCGTTGCACTTGTACGGAACGGTGCCGTAGAAGAAATCGTTGAGCTGGTTGCTCGCCGCCTCGCAGTGTGCCGTGCTCTGGTCCGCCGGGTTGTACAGGTCGAACGACGCATAGCCCCACGAGTTCTGGTGGGCTGGTGTCGTAAAGGTGTACGACGCATGGAAGTCGATGTTGCGGGCGATCCATGCGAAGGACTTGAACGAGATATCCGAGCAGCCCGCTGGGGACGCGCTGGTATCTGCGGCGTCCGGACTGGGAATCGGCAACGCGGTTGCTGTGAGCCCCAGGAGGGGCAAAAGGGAGAGGTACGTGCGGAATTGCATCTTGGCTAGGATGCTTATGCGGTTGAGCCGTTGCGGTTAGGTTGTGGTTGACTTGTATGAGAGGGATAGTCGGAACAAAAGGGATGGTATGGCGTCAGAGTGATGTTGATCGTTTGTGTGCAGATCTTGGCCGAATGGGGTGGTCAGCCGCACATTTCGGATTCATTTGCTGCTGTGCCTTGGTTCTGGGGAGCTCGTGTCTGTTGGGCCCTATAGAGTTTGGCGCGGCTGGCGGCTCATTTATACAGGTTTCCGTCGGGCGGCCACCCGCAGGCCGCCTCACCCTACATCATGAACCCATCCGGGGCAACCGCAGCCGGAAGGGGAAGAGAGGTGGGAACTGTGCTGGCCCAACCACATGGCATTGGCCCTTGGGCTGAGGAACCACATGCTCAGCCCCTCAACTGACCCAGATCGTGCGAGGACTGCAGATCTTTTCGTAGTGTCGGCCTGGTCGGTGTGCGGTGGGACCAGAGCACTGAGTCAAAAACAGAGCCAGGCGAATTGCGTCCAAGAGTTTCCTCGCGAGTGGTTGGGTGCCATCGACGCCAGTTGTCTCTTCGATTAGTTCTTCCGGGTTTGTGGGCGGCCGCTGAGTGTTACCTGCCGCTGCTATGCCACCAGCCGGCCGGCTCGGAGTTGCCTTCGCCTTCGCCGTCAGTCTCGTATTCATCTCTGGCCGACATGGTGTGGCATCACCAAGAAAATGGCCGCTGCAACGTTGAATTGTGGTAGAGAGACTGGTGCAATAATTGCTTGCAGGAGGAAACCGCAAAGAAGTGGGAAGCGGGAGAGGTGGTGAAAAGACAATTGCCGGTGCCGGCCCCGCTGTTAGCCCTCGCTAGCGCACCCTCTTAGCGCACCCTCTTAGCGCACCCTCTTAGCGTCCCTCTCCTGCCCTGATCGGAAGTTGACCGGCGTTGTTATTGGCTGAATTCAAGGGTTGCCGTCATCCTCCCAACGGCTTTTTCTGGGCTCCTGGGCAGGGTCTGACTCTCCGATTTCTCATCACCGCCATGTTTCGCGATCCTGCACCACGAGTGGAGGCCGCATTTGTTTGTGGCCGCTTCTAGAAGAGCGTCTTGTCGCGCAATCAACATCACATCCTTTTCACTTTCTCCGGTTGGAGAAGCTGTGGGCAGCCCCATTGGAGTAGAGGAGGCAAAGGGTTTGGACACCTCAAGAAGCACAACACCCCCGGTGCTGCTTGGTGCCCGGCTGACCGTCCCAGATCTGATATCTCACCGCCCGTTGACTGTTTCACTGGACGAGCTGGACGGACAAGTACAACAAATACATCTTGTCTTCGATTTCTTGGCTCTCGTTTAGTTTCAGCTCGTCTAACGTGGCTTGAGGCAATCCAGAATTTCCTCGACTCCTCCTCGGCCCTACAGATCATGTCCCCTCTTCTAATCGATGTTACGCCTTCGCGCCCGACGGAAACCCCGGCAGCGCCTGGAGCCCTGTATGATCGCGTCAGTCTCAAGCCAGCTATCTTGTCGGAGTCAATCTTCGACTACTCACAGCCGTCAAAGTTCTCGTCCACCACCGTCGGCACGGAGCACTTGTTCATGGCGTCGATGCTTTGCGTCTTGAGCGTCGGGCAGTTGACGTAACACGGCGAGTCCATGGCCCGTTGTAGCGAGTCGCCCTTCCACCCAAACATGTAGTCGCCGTGCGAGCCGTAGCCGGTACTTTGCGACTATGTCAGCTTTCATCCCGCCACAGTCAGTCGACATCTTACCTGTCGTCCATCGACCACACAAACGGCTGCGACCTATCCTCAGGCCACAGCTCCTTGTCATTGAACTTGGACGTATCCCAGATGGTCTCGTACATGAGCTGCGGCACGCGCACGGGGTGCGACGTTGGGCACGGCCCGCCGTTCTCGAAAGTGCCCGTCTCCGGGTACGACATGTGACTCATGTGATCGGGCGAGTCGAGGTTCTTGCCGTCCCAGCACGTCGGGAACCGCACGTTGGCCATGATGCCTGCCTGACACGGCTCCTTGGGAAGATGCATGGTCTCGGGGAAGCGCGTGCCGATGTCCTGGAGGCACGTGTACGTAATCTGCCGGAACCGGTTCGCATCCTTCTTGGCCCGGTACGCCGCCTCACCGATGAGCATCCGGAAGCCCGTCTTGAAGGCTGTCACCTTAGACGTCTGCTGATAGTTGGCCAACCCATCCTGCATGTAGTAGACCGTCATGCCCCCCTGCTGGCCGTCGAAGCCGACGTTGGGGATCTGTGGGACGCGGTGGTACGAGCCGTTCCGTGCTCGGAAGAAGAGCACTGCAGTCCAGTAGTTGGATAAGTCTTCGCTGAACTGGCAGGTTGTGCACGTTGCTTTCTCAGCGATGTCACCGCTCGCGGGGTCCATGGTGACATTGAATGCATTCTGCGTTTGTCAGTGGCTGTTCGTAGCCGGCACGGCTTGGGAGGGGTTGAAGCTTTGCACGTACACCGCCAATGATTTGATGGAGATGGGGCGATGGGTTAAGGCCGGGGGTCACCAGGGGGTCGAGTCGTTCGACCACGAGCTGCGAACAGCCGAACCGAATAAGGGCGGAGGCTGGCGCAACAAGCGTCAGCGCCGTCAATGAGTTGAGATGCATCTTATCTGGTGTTGTTTCTTTCCAAGCGGATCTATCCTGAATATAAGGTATTCTTGGTCTTGATCGCGCCTCCTGGACTGGTTCGAAAACAACGCCAGTGATCAGAGCGCCCGTTTGTGTTGACAGAGGTGGGAGTGGAGGGCTGATATTGCCAACCAGCTCTAGAAGAACTGGTCTTATATCGTTCCGTGGGCTACGACATTGTCCATACCCCTGACCAACCCCCCAACTCTCACCCTGGTTGGGGACAGGATCTCAACAATCAAATTCTGACTGGCACGCCTCTGGTGTGGATGACCCGGATCAGTGGCCATGTGTCTCGGATGGCGACGGCGTCGACTGGTTGGTACACTGGCAGAGTATGACCCTCAGCGCTTATCTCTATCAACTGCCGAGTGTTGAGAGGTTGCTACTCAATCTATCTACTCTAGAGACGTTGCTTCTCCCGTGTATGTTACCCAGCCAAGCGACACCCCGCACCCCGTTGAGGATCTCATGTGGGTGGAGAAGGCCTCTTGCTAATTGGCTTCATGATTCCGGCTGGACTAATATGCACACCATTTTTTCCGGGTAGGCGGTGTTGATTGACATTCTCATGCTGGTGGTAGCGGGCGCCAGAGCTTGCAGAACACGGACATTGATTGTTTTGTCTGCCCACACGATTCAGGCTGTATCGAGGACATGTATCTGCTATCCATCGCTTGTTTTGGAAGGTCCATGGAATTTGATAGTGGCTTTCAAGGCGTCTTGATCATGGGCTAGCTACCGTGGCCTACTTCATAGCCCGTCCCGCTATAACTATCCGGCAAATTCTATTACTCCCGTTACGAGTCCCGGCCCACTTACACTGGACCTTGTTGAGCTGTGTCATAACCATCAATGTTGACCTTGGTTCCATGACGAGGAATTCATGTGCTATCTCGATTTCTTTTCACTCAGTTGAGCAGCCTGCTGAGATGGCCTTGCATTTCGGGAAAGTATCCCCTTTTGAGCCCATGGCTAATTACCTGGATACACGAAGTGAGAAGTACGCTTGGTGATGCAGTCCCATGGTTATCCGAGCACCTGTCTCCACCCATGATACCAAGTAAAAATCTCCCATCGAGGTATCCAGCATCCTTTATAAATCATCATCAAGAAAAGTCATCGTTCCATTGATTGATGTCGATGTCGTTACACGTATCTGAGGCCAACACCCGCTGCTTATTCCGCATCCAGAGGTGCCCGTGGTGGCGTGTCGTTGACCTGGACGCCCCCGCGTTTTTTCTCGTGGCTGTCTGGCATGGGCAAGGCCCATCCGCCCTCGTCTTCAGGAGTGGCCAGCCAGAGCCTCAGAAGATGGCGTCGTGGTGCCGGCGGTGCGAAGTCTGTCCGGTACCACGTTAGCTTCAGCTGTAAATATCCATCATGAACAACACGTGGTGTTACCCACCCTTGTACGCCGTCCTAGCATGCAACAAGTGCGCGTTGCTCAGGAACTGGATATCCCCCACCTCGAGCACCATATGCAGCGCCTCCCGCTGACACACCTCCTCCAGCACCTCCATGGCCCTCTCCTGCTCCGCACTCAGCGCCGGCACGACGCCCGTCTCGATGAATCTCCCCAGACTCCTGACAAAGTATGGATCCCACTTGCAGTATAGCCTCCCCTGCCCTCCATTCTCGAGATACACCACCGGCTGCCGAATCCATTCCTCCTGCCCCTCACTCACCTCCCCCTTCCGGTCAAAATACCACACCGGCCGCGTCAACAACTCCGCCACGTCGGGATACTCCTGCTGCAGCACATTCCAGACCCGATGCACACTAACGACATCGCTCTCCCCTCCTTCCCGCGCACGGTGCAAACACAGCAACCCCACAATATCCGCCTCGTCGGCATGGAACAGCTGCCGCGCGGTCGTGCGGTAGATGCGCACGGAATGGATCTGTGACGGGTCCTCGCCGACGTCCTTGACGTGGCCCAGCACGTGGCCGCGGCCGTTCTGTGAGACGAGATATCCCAGGTGCGCGCCCAAGCCCATGTAGGCGACGGCGGTTTTCAGCGTTGGCCAGACGTCGGCGGGGAAGCGCTTGAAGAGGACGAAGCCTTTGCCGTTGAGCAGGTTGTCCCGCAGGGCCGTGAGGGTTTGAGAGAGGTGCGGGAGGGGGAAGTTGCTTTTGGAGATGCCCGTGAGGGGCGTGTTCGACGCGATGAAGGCGTCTGCGGCGGCGGAGAGCTCGGCAATTTCGGACGGGGTGAGGGGGTGGATCCAGCGCTCCGGGTGGGAGCTGAAAGTCGAGGCTTGCCAGACGGTGGGGCCGGTAATGGTCTTGGGGAAGGTTGAGTAGGGTTTTAGGAGGCCGTACAGAGGTGAGTGCTGGCCTGACGTACGGATGCCGTCTGGGAAAATATGCCGAGGAGCGCCATCGTTGCGTTTGGCGGCCTGCGGGAACTGGTTTTGAGCCTCGTCGACGAGGATACCGGGCGCCATGGTGGGAATGGGACGATGGGATTGCGGGCGAAGGATTGCAACTGACTTAGGTGCGTAATACGTGCCTAAAAGAGTCCGGTATGAACAGCTGGACTGTTTGAGTAGTTTAAATGGAGGGAACGGTAGAATAAACCGAGACAAAGGGGAAGGGAGCTGTATAAGTACACCGAGACGAGGCGCCATGCCTATTGATCCGTGGGCCGAGAAATTGCGTGATTGCTCGACAAGGAAACCATTTGACCGGACAAGAGATGTTCATGACTGCTATGCGTAGTTGTCTCGGCTTGGTGCTATTCAAGATGATGTGCGGCAGGGAGCTGTGGCATGGCGAGCTCGGAACTGGGGATGGCGTGCTTATCACCGGCTATGCCATGAAAGCATCGCTTCCCCGCAACGCCCACCGCACCTGCATCCTAGTCGGCTAGGACAATGGTGGCATCTACTCAGCACTATGCAGCACGCAGTCCGAGTTCCGATTGTCTGAGGCGTGGAGTTCAACTTGAGACCATGGCTTCCGTTTGACCACCAGCCGCTATTCAGGGGCGCCGAAACAACCGTTGCGACATCTATATTGCCTAGTGTACCGAACAGAAATGCACGCCGAAACATTTATGCATTGGACGGCAGCAGCCTCTTCAACGGATGAGCTTCTGTGTTGAAGACGTACTCATCCAGACTAATGAGCTCGGGTTCGCTGAACATCAAGTAGAAGTACTTAAGCGTCTCACCCAACCAGAAGCTTTCCATCGAGTCGATCTGCGGCGGCTTACCCTCGGTAACGGTAACGTCGGCAAGCGTCGCGCTGGCCAGCGGTGTCTTGGTGTTCTCCTCGATGGTCTCAAACATTCTCCACGCCGTGTTAGGCAGATCCCTGCGGCCGGTAATGCGATACAGGATGAAGACGCTCTCAATGGCTTCGGGCCGCAGGACGTACCGTGGGTCGCCGATTGCGACGAAGCCCTCGGGGATCCGCTTGTGTTGAATGATTTGTTTGGCTTGTTTCGCGTCCATGTCGGCGTCGAGGCCAACCTTGGTCAGCACCGTCCGCCGCCACAAAGTCTCGTTCCAAGGGCAGTAGTCCGCCGACTCGCACGGCAGCATGTGGAAAGTCTCAGGCATGATGCCCAGCGGGATAGCTTCATAGGTCCAGACGCAGCCATCCATCAGTTTCTCGCCCTTCTCGACATGGGTCTCATTGTTGACGAGCCGCCCGCCCAGAGCCAGCATGCCACCAGCAAAGCACACCAGGTGCTGGGCCTCAGGTCGTAACCTGGGGACGTCTTCACCGTGTTCACCAGGCTCAATTGTCACCAGGCCCGAGATGAGGACGTCGTTCTCGTCCGGCAGCATGGGGCGGAACAGGTTGTGCCGGATAGCCGTGTCCATGGATGCCTCGTACATGTGGCGGTACATGGGCAGAAGGCCGCCGACTAGAGCGTGGGTCTTGGGCAGGTACTCAAACAGCGAGTCGGCCATGGCGCCGAGCGTGTAGTCGGTGTGCTGCCTGAAATCCTGCTTCTGGGCGTTGACGAGGATGGGCCACATTCCGGGTAGGCGGGTGGACTGCTGCTGTTTCTGGAGCAGCTCTGTGATGCGCTGCACAGCGTCATACCACTTTGGGTCGCCGGTGAGCATGGACAGGCGGATGAACTCGAGGGAGAAGGAGCCGATCTCGGCCAGAAGGGTAGTTTCGTGGGCGAGCAGCTCCTTGCCAGAACTGGTTCCCCAAGCATCCCACCGTGTCACGGGCATGCGGTTGGGGGTGTCAAAGGCAACGTAGAGCAACTCGCCGACCTCCCTAGCCTTATCGAGCAGGCGCTTGTCCCCGCTAAGGTCATAGGCGGCGAGAAAGCCGCCCAGGTAGCGAATGTTGGTCTCGAAGATGTTGACGTCCTGCACGGGGACCTTGTCGAAGTTGATTTGGGATGCGGCGGCCACAGCGTCGTAGAACTCGTCCTTCAAGCCCATGATCCAGAGCGTGTCCAGGCTATCGACAAGAGTCGCGGCCCAGCCGCCAAACGGATCATGCTTGCCCCCACTGACGGGTGTGAGCTCGTCGCTCATCCAGGCAAGCTTGCGGTACGACCTCCAACTGCGCAAGAAAGAGGCCTTGACGGCGTCTCGCCTCTTGAGGCGCAACTCACGGTCCGAGTCAGACTCGGACGCGAAGTCTTTCTGCACCTTGGGCAGCGCCAGTGGTTTCCCGGTGAAAAGTTCGCGCATGTCTGTGACCGGGTAGCGCGGCTTCATGCGGCTCCAGAATGTCGATCTGCCAGGTAGGGCTCCCGACGCAGCGTGATGGCTGCGGCCTGGCGCCCCAGGGTTCGGCTGTGCGGGGCGCCTGACATCGAGCCGCGGGAACGAGTAGAAGAGAAAGAAGACGGTAGCGCCAAAAAGCACCGCCCATGCTTTTCGCCGTCCAAAGATGGCCATTTCGGCGTCGGGCTTCTGCGTCGTTGCACGTGGTTGAAGCCTGCAGGTTACGATGCGCGTCTTCCCGTTGGCAACCAAAGGGGGTCGGCGCCATGGTAAATTTCCGGTTTCAGTGGGCTGGATGGAACCCCCACCTTCCTCTTTAGCCCACCATGCCTCGGAGGTAAGATACACTGATGGTGTAATCCGTACACTTACGGTACCGGTGGAAAGGTCTGGAATTGAGGACCCACACTAAATCCCAGACCCAGTTCGGAAAGCACCGCGTTTTGACTAATCCTATAATCTGCTCAATATATAATGAGTTGAGCCTATAGCCCTCCTACCTACCCTAGGGAAGATAATGGAGACTATAATGGCTAAGAGGGTAGCAGAGGCCACTGTCACGTGCATTGCCCGTTACAGGGTTAGGGTTGCAGTCTGTACCTCCGATGAGGTGTGGGGGTTGCCAGTGGTCGGTGCGCCACCCCCTGCAGGGTTTCCCTGTGGGCTGCATCCTGCACCACGGTTTGGTTCCTCGTGCAACCACACCAATACTAGAGGATACGCAAGTTCAGTTCCTGTGCTCCGTCACAGTTGGTTGCACCTCTTCAGTTCCTGTGCTCCGCCACAGTTGGTTGCACCTCTAGTTTACGTTGCGTAGCGATAATTTCGACAATTCAAGGCTCAGAGAAGCTTTTCAGCGATTTTTCAGCAACTTTCCAGATTCGATTTGAACGCGCGCGGCGTAGACCACGGATGTTGACAACAATTGACGCATGCCAAACGACAACCGAACCAATTAATCAAGAGAGCCAAGACGGCACGAGCGCACTGCGCATCTGAGACAAGGCTTCGACAAGGGGTGGCCGTCAGGATGGCGGACATTGAAATGGAGAATAGGCCCCCCCGGCTCGGTGATATCCGGCCGACTATGATTGAGCACCTGAACGAGGCGACTCATCCCACTTTGAAGAAGTACTTCGGCAACTGCAAAAATGGGATCACCACCACTGAGGATATCAGGAGCATCCTCGTGCAGGGCTGCAAGGACCATCTTGCGGGTAGGCCTACCACGGTGGGAGCCCAGATCCTGCACCTCATGGAAGGCATGATGAAGGCGGAGGCAGTCCGCCATGCAGTTCGTTACGACAGATTGCTTGACGAGAAGGACGCGCTACAGGCGCAGGTCCAATTCCTGAACGAAGCGTTGGGCTACGACCAGAACGGCCAGAAAGGAGCCCAGACGACGGCTTCCAACACCAATCCGGCTTTTGCGAGGGATCCCCAGGCACCCGAAGTTCCGCCCCCGAGGCAGCAGAACAATAACAACAATGGCGGCAATCACGGGGGCACCCCGCTGACGACGGAGTCGCTAGCCGCATTGCTCAATAACATACGCCTGAGCGATGGATCAGGCAGCGGCTCTACTGCTCTGCCGCACCCGGAGAAGTTTTCCGGCGATGAGAAGGACTCTGCCAAGCGCACCCAGCAGTTCCGTACATGGAAGATTCAGGTCATCGCTCGTTGGATCGTACGCCCGGCTGAGTTTCGGGACGAGTGTTCCAAGATCCTATATGCCACTGCACTGTTGATCGGCACGGCTTCGGACACGACCACTCACGGAGTGGAGATCATGATGGCTCACCCGTACGAGCCGTACCTCTGGACTTGGAAGACCGGCATGGATCTCATGGGCCATTTGGCCAGGCGCTACGCCACCCTGGACCTTGTCTAGCTGGCTGAGAGCGAACTGGAGGTCCCGGAGCAGAAAGGCGATTACGCAAGATTCACGGACTTCCTGACGAAATACTCGAGCCTTACCGATATGGCCTGCTGGGATGATACCACCCGCGCCCGCCATTTCCGCGAGAAGATAAGTCAGAAGATGAGGGACCTGTTCAAAGCCCAGGTCGATACCCTGGAGACCGACGATTTTCAGGGCTGAGTTCGCATGGGCCAGAAGCTGGCGGCGAATCTGGAGGGTGATGAGTATATATTATTATTCCTACACCGCTGTGCCCTAGGGCGTGCCGGACCTTCAACAACTTACTATACAGGAAAACCGCGCCCTCGTGGGCCGGGTGAAAAACCCATATCGACAATCAAGGAAACGATCAGTGTATGATCCTGCAAATACAAAGTGAGAAGGCCTCTTGGCCTTCGAAGGAAAGGGATATCAGACCGCGAGCTCCAGCTCCAGCCTCCTGGCCAGACTGTACATCGGCAGTTTCCTCGAGTCCATCAGCCAGTCCAGGATCCTCTCCGTTAGCCGTGCAGCTTTGGGACTGATTCTCAAGAAGACAGAATAAAAGGCCCTTCGCGTTCATATCGAACAGGATAGAAGTCCACCGAATCTCGAGTCTTGGCCGAGAGTTTGCCGAGGCCTTTACGGGCTCGGCCCGTTACAATTATAGGATGGACAGAGATTTTAGTTCAGCCTTACAAGTATCGCTTTCCTTTGTAATTAGTAGTACAAGGTCTGGCGAGCCCTAAGGTATGGCAGTATAGGGATAATAATAATAATGATAAGAATAATAATGATAAGAATAATAATGATAAGAATAATAATGAGAATAATAATAAGTATAAAAAGAATTGTAACGGGCTGGGCCCGATATGAGCCTCGGCGACTCTCGGCCAACACCAAGACCCCTGATGAAGCTATTCCCACTCGCCCCACAGCACACCGAACCTTCTAGCAACGCGCTCAGACCAGCGCGCCTACGAGGGCAAGTATGCTTGCGAGCTACCAGAGTCTGTCGTCTCTCCTTTCCTTCTCCAAGTTCAGTGTACTCGTAGAGTCGTCATCAGCTAGTTGCAATATACTACCTGAGACCGTTACAAGAATAATAAGAATAATGAGAATAACTATACAATGGACGTATGGCTAAAATTCGAAATAGAGCTAGTTAACAACTTTATCGACAGTTTATCTATGCGCATTGAGGTAGGCAAGCAAAGAGCAAATATTGTCATGGGCAATGCCCGTGCCAGAGTTATGGTTGCGTTCCATCTACATTAGATAACACAAGCCCATTGGAGTGGGTCTTGCGTGATGGCCAGTGCACCACCCCTCTTGGTCAATGCGCAGCCCTAGACTGCGCACAGCCCATAAAGTTCTGGTTCCTTGTGCGATCTTAGAAAACTACTAGATCCGCATGGAGTACATCGCCTTTCTTACCGATCCCTCACTGGGGATGAGCGATTCCAATCGTACTGTCGACGTGTCAATGAGACCGTACACTCCAAGGGCACTCCCAAGGCCAGTATTGCTTGTGCCTCGGCATGGGTTGTCCCGGCCTAAAACCGGCTAGCCTTGGATGGCATCATTGTCCCTGCATTGCGATGTCTGGTTTTGTTCCTCACACATCATGTCTGAACGACAGAACCTGCCGGTGACCAACCTTCAAAACAAGTGTTAAGTTCAACAGTTCAACACATGAGCAACATGCTCCCTCCTTCCGTCCGGGCGTTGAGCCGCCGGGCCTGGAAGGTCATTCGGGTCAACTGGCACCTGGGAGTGACCGCCTTCGGTGGCCCGCCTGTGCACTTCAAAATCGTGAGTAATCATCTATTAAAGTTGATTGTCTGCTATCATATCATCGCCCATCAATCTCTCTAACTTTGTCTGACCTAGTTCAACGAAAGATTCGTTAAGAGAACGCAATGGATCGACGAGCAGGTCTTCCAGGAGCTGTTCAGCATCTCCCAGTCGCTGTCCGGGCCCGCCAGCACCAAGATGCTGTACTGCATCAATCTCATCCGTGGCGGCTTTATGTCAGCTTTGCTTAGCTTCCTGATCTGGAGCCTCCCCGGCGCCATCGGGATGTACGCCTTGTCCATTGGCGTATCCAACATCAACGAAACACTCCCGAGACCCGTCTACGCCCTGCTTTCCGGTCTCAACTCAGCTACGGTTGGAGTCATTGCCATGGCCGCCGTTGAGCTATCCCAGAAAGCCATCACAGACAGGCTGACACGCCTCATCGTTTTCCTGACGGGCGCTGCTGGCATGCTGTACAACGCACTCTGGTACTTCCCCGTCCTGATGGCCGTGTCAGGAATTGCGACGCTTGTCTTTGACTTCCGCTGGGTCCACCGGCCTCTTGGCCGGCTTGTCACCGCCGCTGGGAGACTCCGAGTCCGAAGCCAGACCAACGAGGAAGGTTCTGAAACCGGAAACAGCGCAGCCTGCTCCCACCATTCGAATATCGACGCCCAGCCTCAACCCGAGCCACCCACGCCCGTCACAGACCTCCCAATCAACGAACCCTCACCCTACCCCGCTGCAACCGAATCCGAACCACGCATCATCCCCCCGTCGCACCAACTCTCCCTACCGCACTCCCTGACCTGGAAGACCGGCACATTCATCATCGCGTCCTTCCTCCTAACCTTCGTCGTCACCACGACCCTCCGCAGCACCCTCCACCTCTCGCCGCTCCTCTACCGCCTGTTTGCAAACATGTACCTCGCCGGCACCATCATCTTTGGCGGCGGCCCCGTCGTTATCCCCCTGCTGCGCGAATACGTCGTCGCCGAGGGGTGGGTCTCGGCCCGCGACTTCTTGATCGGCCTCGCCCTAATCCAGGCGTTCCCGGGGCCGAACTTCAACTTTGCTGTGTTTCTGGGGAGTTTGACGGCACTGAAGGCGGGGTATAGCTCGGCTTCTGGCGCCGTGGTCGCGTGGGTGGGGATTTTTAGTCCTGGTTTGGTGCTGGTGCATGGCACGATGGGCATTTGGAGTGCCGTGAGGAATAGGAGGTGGGTGAAGAGTGCCTTGAGGGGCGTCAACGCTGGCGCGGTTGGGTTGATGTACACGGCGGTGTATAGGATTTTTGAGGTTGGTTATATCGATGAGGGTTTTCAGGCTGGGAGGAGTCTTGGGGATGACCCGTGGTGGGTGGTTATCACGGCGACAAGTTACGTTGGGGGGAGGTATTTTGGGATTAATGCCCCGTTGGCCATTGTGCTGGGTGCGGTGATGGGGCTGCTGAGGTATGCTGTTGTGTTCGCTTGATGTGTTGTTGGACAGCCATTCCGTTGCCGAAATCGCACAGCAAGCCATCGACCAGAGAATCCAGCAGTAAATTCTCGATACATTGTGGTTTCGCACCATGACCGCAAGGGAAGAAGAGATAACCCCTGCACATATCGGAACATTCGATTGGGCTCTCCAGACTCCGCATGATGACCCTCAGTGGGATCGTCGCTCAGGGTGGCTATGATCAGGGGAAGGAATTTACTGGGTGTCCGGAAAGGCTGGCAGCGGCAAGTCATCTCTAAGGAAACGACTGATGCAACACTGCAAACAACAGACCTCCTCGTCGAGTGGCCTAACCGCTCCCCCTATAGCCTCGCATGAGTCGCATCCTTCTTCTTCTGGTATCCAGGACTCCCGAACAGAGGTCATTGGATAGCTTATCCAGGTCTCTTCTTTACCAAATTCACTCACGCCGCCCTTCGTTCATCTGCGAAGCTCTGCCTGGGCCGTGGAAAGGGCTGGAATTGTACAGAGGACGGCGTCAGCTTACGCTCCCTTACGTATAAGTTATCTTATAGTTTCTTTTCATGATACTAGACAACGGTCAGAACGGCAAGACTTGCGAGTGCGAACTCGCCTGGTATTCACCCAAGTACCCAAGCTATACTACAGTAAGATAGCAAAACCTCTGAACACGAGAAGGCGCGTATCTCACCGCTCTGGGATACCGCCCTTTCCTGAAGACCGTTTCATTTGCAGCACACACTCTCCAAGAATAACTTAGTTCTTGCAAATTTTTGCATCCGTACTTGCGTCGACTTTCTTGCATACAATTCAAGAATTGCAGGCACATTTATTGCTTTATGTTTCTCTTCCAGCGAAGGCTGCAGGCTTGACTTCTCATTTAACTTATTGATTAGCAACCTCATGTCGCAATGACCAACATTACATGCAGAGTTTCGGATCCAGCCCAATTGGCTCGATCGAGCAACGGGCAGGATGTTCAGCCGGCAGACCGTCCACCGATTTACGTTTTCGTTGTTGCCGGCAATCCGGCGTTGAGGTGGCAAGAGAGGAGGGTAGGTTTCCAATGTAACGGTCCCAGGAGTATATTGCAACTAGCTGGTAACGACTCTACGAGTTTGTCTCGAATGGAGAGAGAAGAAGAAAAAGAGTGAAACACTATGCAAGATACCTGCCGTCTTATCCTCCACATCCTTGGCCTGTGCGCCGATATCGAACGAGATAGAAGTCCACCGAATCTCGAGTCTTGGCCGAGAGTTTGCCGAGGCCTTTACGGGCCAAGCCCGTTACATCCTGGATAGTCCCAACCACAATCGGTATCCGCGTCCAGCCCCAGCCCTGGCACCCTCTGTTACCGACTTGAGAGCTGTTAATCTCGAGGATTCCTTAAAGTTGTTGGTAAGCTAACGTACATATCGGCTGTTTTCACTGCCCTTGATCCGTTGCTGATAGTACAGCAGCCGTTGCTCCCTCCGATCACCAAACTACCGCTTCTCAAGACGCTGTCCTCGATGCCCACCCGAGAATCACAAGAGTCAAGTGGAATCCCGAAGTTCACATGAGCGATTACAACCCCTGGCACGATATGAGCAACTTTGTTTCCTTTCACTGCGACCCAAATCAGAACGATCAAGAGGCCACCGGATTCCGCATCACATCGCTGCTTGTTGAGCTCATCTATCTCTCCTTGCCGAGCAACTTCCCAGCGAGTCGGCGGTCACCCTTGCTACGGTCAACAGGGCAATATTCAGCATTCTCCCGGCCCGGTTCCTTCAAGGCCTGAGCACGCAAAATCATTGGAACCTGCTTCTACTGCTGGAGGGGGACGCGGACATGATGGTGGCTTGTCAGCAGTGCCAAACGCCGCACAGTCCCTTCGTAGCTCTGTCTAGCACAAGATCATATATATATTATTATTATTCCTACGCCGCTGTCCCCTAGGGCGTGCGGGACCTTCAACAACTTACTATACAGGAAAACCGTGCCCTCGTGGGCCGGGTGAAAAACCCATATCGGCAATCAAGGAAACGATCAGTGTGTGATCTTGCAAATACAGAGTGAGAAGGCCTCTTCGCCTTCGAAGGAGAGGGATATCAGACCGCGAGCTCCAGCTCCAATCTCCTAGCCAGACTGTACATCGGCAGTTTCCCCGAGTCCATCAGCCAGTCCAGGATCCTCTCCGTTAGCCGTGCAGCTTTGGGACTGATTCCCTGTAGAACAGAATAAAAGTCCATTCGCGTTCTAACCTCGGCTCTCTCCCATCTTCGAAGATCATATAAACATACCCCCGGCCGATATCTGAAGTGTGTCAAGGGGCGTGACACCTCGCTGGCACATGGTGTTATATCGGCCTATTGTCGCCTGCTTGCCAAGCGACTGATTCGGGAACAGCCATACTCCGAGCTGCTCTCCATAGCCTCCTCGACAAAACATACACGCTCATGCCAGAGTTCAAGCTTTTTCACACGACTACCATCCGCTTGATTCAAGGCAATCTTTTCCGCGGCACCGACCCCTTAGTTGCGCCTTTGACGGCGGATAGAACGCTGATTTCTCGTGCGGCGTACCTCCTCAGTGACCTCGCCACTGGAAGCGAGGCCCTTCCCCTGTGCCCTCACGTCGAGAGGCCACATCTTGGCTTCGAACTTCCGTATCACCGAGATTCAGCTGACTATCCGCGCGCTGCCGGCCAGACATCCTACGCTACCCACCGGGCATGGCCAATGCGAGATATGCCACGAAACATGAAGCAGAGGCAGGAGATCACAATCCGATACCTTGCGAAGGGGATAGCCACTTCGCGGACTGCTACGACTCGACCCCATTTCCCGTGGCGTTCTTGATGCGGCTTCAGGCCCAGGCTTCAGCTGTGCCCTGTTGCACGACCAGCCCTGTCAAGATGCCGTGTGCAACGGGCTTCTTGACCGGTACGAAGTCAATCTCGTGCGGGGTTGCACAATCGCGCCACGGATATGCGTCTCAGATCTCAGCATGTTGAGGGTGCCGGCGGAGTGTTAGGGATGACGAAAATGGAAGAAGCTAAGCAGTAAATACAAAAGCCAATGGGCCGCATGGCACGCCCATGATAACAACGTTCACAAGTTTGCCGACCTCTACCGCTGATCTCCCAACAAGCGAGCAAGTATACAGAGAGACTTGAGAACGGGGACGTCCATGGATGGCGCCTTCAAGAACGCTACGCCTCTGTTCTCCAGCGTGATGCCTGCTTGCTGGTACAACCCTACCATCAATTACAGCGCTCTCGCTCATCTCACCGGAGATTCAGGAATCAGGGAGGAGTGGTGTGGTGGCTACATTTTGATCTTCGCCACATATAGCTCTTGAGTACCTGATACTGAGGCACAAGAGCGCACTGATTTGTACGTCTGGGGTCAAAACAAGGAATGGAGGAAAAGATGGGGATAGACAGTAATGGCAATGGGCTAACCTCATCTTATATAGGGCCCATGGCGAAGGTCATGTCCCCAGTCAATTTATTACCTTACGTAGCACTATGTCAATACATGTACTTACGCAATCATGATGCCACGGCGAAGTTCATTGACACCATGTTACATTCCCACAACACACGGGAGGACCACTTGACTTTCTCAGTATGGCCCGTTTATCAATTCCCTGGGGCTAAAAGGATTTAACTCTGAAGACATAGGGAATAATGATCAAAGAAAATACTAACTAAGGCCTAAATTTACACCGACGACAGTAACTGACTCTACCATTCTCACCCTCGTCTTCCCTTCCCATCTCGATCACCACCCCTGAACTGCCGCCTCCCAGTTCACAAACGCGGCTGCTCCACCAAGCAGGGCGGCAGCACCCACAGCGGCCGTCTGCCTAGGCCCAGAATTCTGGGGTGGGCCAGAGTCACCGTCAAACGGGCCGTCAGACGGGGTGGCATACACGGTGGCAGACTTGGTCGTGGAGGCCGTGGCAGACATGGTGCGCGAGCAGGCGGGTGACGAGGCCAGCGAAGAGATGGGTGACGAGGTGGCCTGCGAGGTGGCAGACGGGCTGTTCGACGGTTGACCGACACTGCCGGTCCGCTGAGCGTCCGCGGATGCTGTTGAGGCAGCAGTGGCCTCGCTCGTAACCGTACTGGTAGACGCCAGGGCCGAGGTAAAGGGCACACAGGTCGTGGTGGTGGCGCCGTCAAACACCGGGGCCTGCGTGGCGGCTGCCGGGTTGGGGGTGGCCGTCTGGTTAGATGGGTTCAACACTCTGCGGAGGTACAACGACGGTACCATGTGTCGGCAATCAGCCCCAATTTTGAGAGAGGCGCAAAAGGGTAAAGCAATTGGGAACAGAGTCATACCCGTCAATTATATGGAGCACGCCATTGCCAATAAGGATATCCGACGCAATGACACGGGCGCTATTCACGAACCACGCCCCGTCGTCCTCGACCCTGAAATTGATGCTTCCGCTGTTGATGGCCATCGCCTGGCTGCCATCCATAATCTGCCAGCTGTACTGCACCTGGCCCGAGATGACGTGGTATTTCAGGATACCGGCGACCTCCTCAATCGCCATGTTAATCGCCAGGCTGCCGATGGCGTTGAAGGCGTTGTTGGACGGCGAAAAGATGGTCACGTCTCGCGCATGGTTGAAGGCGGCCTCGACTCCCGTCTCCCGGATCGCGCCCGCCATCGCTGTATGACCCTTGGAGACTACCGTGCCGGTCAGGTTGTGCGGAATGCACAGCACCGAGTCGATGATATGCACGACGCCATTGTCGTAGTGCAAATCCTGCAGAGTTACCAATTTGTGCGACAGTTTTTGGACAGGGGAAGCTTGGGCTACATACGTATGTCTGCACGGCGGACTCGGTGTTGTGGCCGGACACAAAGGTGACTCCCCCGTCCTTGACGCGGCCCTGGACCACCTGGCCGCCGGTCACGTTGGAGAAGCAGGGATAATTATTCATGAAGGTTGGGAAGTTTGCCGCGCCAGCGTTGATGAAGTGGTCACTGTAATAGACTCCATTGAGAACATGGTAGCTCAGGAATGCCGTAAGAAGGTTTGAGTCCGATGCCAAGTGGGCCGAGAAATTTGACTTGTACAGCTCATCCATGGCCTTGTTGCTGGGCGCGAGTATCGTGACGCCTTGGGCGCCGCTCAAGATGGCAAGGGCGGCCATCTGAGATTGCAACCAGGAGTGGATGGTGGAAAGCGTCTCGCTCTGTTCCGTCAGGACATCCTCAAGAGATTTACCAAAGGCACCGGCGGCCAAAGCCAGCGGGAAGAGCTGTGTTATTCGCATCGTGGCAAGGGAGGTGGCAAGGCGGTCAACCGATCGGCGAGATGCCTCGTTTGGTATTAGAGACCCAGTCAAAGACCGAGATCGTTAGCACAAAGAAGCGTGGAAGAAGAAGTGCACCGGGACACGAGCCGACCTGATTCACATATGTATGTGGTCGAAGAACTGAGATGGAAAGGTGACAGATCAAGCCGGGACTACTCCCCCTTTATGCTCTTGATTTCTCGGGAAGCACGGTCCACTCGTTACCTAGAACACGGAGCTGAGTGCTCATGAAGACCGTCAGTGGGTGCCTTGGCAACATCATGGCATGGGTACGGTCTATTCATGTCGCCTGATGCGCGCTGCGTGTCTGCCTTGAGTCCATGGTATACGCGCTCTGCCACCCCAGTCGCTTTCCCTATGAAGACTAAGCGCCACATCGAAGCTATTGCAGGCTCGAAGCCCGAGCTTGGGAGGTAGGCTCGACGGTGTTTCGACACGGAGAAGCCGTATCTCGGAATGGGCTCATAGTCGTCATTGGGTCATCCGCTTTAGGTAAGTCTAACGGTAAGCTCGGCCCCACTGCCGCAAAGCCAAGCCCGAGACACGCGGAGCACGGCCCCACACCTCCGTGGATCTGACACGGACGTGCCCAGGAGTGCCCGTGGTAGCACCATGAGAGCGGCAAAGAGGGGCCATTGCTTAACTATTTATGAGCCAAGCGGGCGTCAGTGCGAGAGTGCAAGACGCCTTATATAGTTCTGGCGCTCTGTAGTTCGGTCTGTGTCAACCTGGTCTCCTGACATTGGGCCTGGACGCGGTCCCAGGGGATGGTCGCCCGTTCTTTTTCTGAGTGTGCATCAACTTGCTTCCTTTCTTCTGACCAGAATCTAGAAGCGATACACAGCTGTGCCGAGAATCCCGAACATCACCAACTTTTTCCGCGATGGCTGAGACGTACTGGGACCCCGCCAACCTGCTCCAGATCACCGCACTCGATGACTCGCTCGAAGTTCAATGCCTCGGCCGTGGCGCTCGGGGCCGTCCAAATTCGCGGTGCCGATTGACCTTGTCGGCCTCTGACGCAGCGCCCACCCTATTCAAGATCAAGAAAATGGCCGCCATGCCGCCCAGCAAGGTGACTCAGCAGGATCTCGAGGCCCTCGCAAAACTCTGTCTCTGCAAGGAGCACCACGCACCGCAGTGGTATCAAGTCGCCCAGCGCTGGAAGTATGTTGTTGCGAATGCCGTCAAGCAACACGACCGACTGGCCGCGCCGAAAGAAAACGGTTTCTCGGAACGAGTTCGCATAGAGACGCTCCTCCTCGAGCGCCGAAAATTCTGCGAAGCTCTTGGCCTCAAACATGATATCGGGGACCTTTCTGTGAAGCTTTCGGCCCATCTCACTATCCTCGATAAGGCAAAGACCAAGGCCGAGACTGCGCAGTCAGCTGCAGAAAAAAAATTGCAGGAGGTGAAGGAAGAGCTTGACCAGGCGAATGAGAAGCTGGCGCAGCTGAAGGATGATCTTGACCGTGCTATCGCCGTGGGATCCCAGCCGGCCGGCGGGTACCGTTTTGCTGTGCGCCAAGTCGACGAGATACGCAATGTCGAGGCTCCTCGCCTCGCTGAGATGCTGAAGCTCGTCGAAGTGGCAAAGAATGAGCGGAACGAACTCAAAAGCAGAATCAATGCTCTTGAGAGCGACCTCTCCAGCGTCGGCTGCTGTCTGGACGAGGAGAGGGCTAAGTCGAGGGCCATGGAGGACTCAAATATCGAACTGGAGGAGCAAGTCGCCACTGTCACCCAAAGGCTCGCTGCTTCTGAAGCCCTGCTGGAGGAGGAGAGAGAAAAGACCAGGGAGCTAGAAGAAGCCAGAGGCGATCTGGCGCGCCGCCTATCCAAAGCAAATACGGAAGTGAAAAGGGCGTGGAGCTTGGTGGAGGAAGAGAAGAGCAAGACCGCTGCGTCCAAGAGCGTCCAAGGCGAGTACCATCGCCGCTTGAACGACGCGTACATCGAACGAGATCGGTTGTTGACTGAGGAGCGGGCCAAAGCGAGAGAGACCTTGCGACAAACAACGCTTCATCTCGAGCAGCGCCTGCGCGAGGTCAACACCGAAGCACAGAAGATGTTGCATAAAGAGAGAACGCGGGCAAAGGTGCTCTCCGACATCAGAACCGAGCTGAAGAACCGGCTGTCCGAGGTCAGGGCGGCGGCGGCCGCCGAAGCGCAAAAGGCCCAGCGCGAAATCGAAACACTCGACAAGAAACACCAAGCCGCCGTCAACCAAGTCCACCGCCTCCAAAGCGACCTCAACAAAGCCAAAGCCCGCCAATCCACCATTGAACGCGATCTCTCCGAATCCCGAAACACCGCCAAAACCGTGCAGTCCCTCAACGACAAACTCACCGCCACCAACACCACCCTCAACCACCAGCTCACGGCCGTCCAGCAGCAGGTTACCGCCCTCAAAGCCAAACGCTGGCGCCCCCGTATCCGCGCTTTGTTCCACTCCTTAGAGCCCACTCCACGCCCTTCCAACTCGTCACCGTCATCGACACTCCCCACTAAGAAGTAGCTCAAGTACTTGTTGTGCCTACCCCAGTTGGGTAAGTCTCAATCGACCTCTCCGACCATACCCTCCACCCCACGTTCACGACCGCCTCCACCCTTCCGTCAACCCAGAACTCATAAAGCTAAGCCCCGGTGAACCAGGAGGGGAGAGGTCCTGAAACAAGGCCTTGAACGCGATCCTTTTCCCGCCTGAACTCATCTCATCTTCGGCCCTGGTCAGGTGCGGACGGTGGTTTGTCCAACTTTCGAGGAAGCTTTACTGTGACGGCGAAGAGGGTGCTGTAGGGGCCGGTGCTGCCGAGTTTGTTGAAGGTGTAGGCTCTTTGGGCGCTGCAGTATCGTTTGTATCGTCCAATACGTAGTTCTCAATGGAAAAAGGATCAATGAAAACCCCGACAGTCGTGCCGTGAAGGTCAACAAACAACAAGGTGATGAATCAACTCTGCACCACAAGCCACTTGATATGTCGTTTGTAACTCTTCCAAACCAACAAAGCAAAAATGCCATCCCCTGCAATGCTGACCAACGCACAAAACAAATACCCATTCGCCTGAAGTCGGGTTTACCCCCAGCCAGCCACGGACAGCAAAACACCAGAGAACCAGTACTATGGTGCAGATCCGTCGAATAACCGAGCCAATTAAAGCCAGACCGAAGCGAAACGAACCGCCCCTGAGGTAAACCTACTCGCCCCTCCGCCTCAAAAAGACCTCGACAACAGCCCTCTTCCTCCCCGCCGCCGCCCTCCGACCCTTCGCGCCAGCCCCTTCAACCCCTTTTCCACTTCGACACACAATTTCCCCAAAGACCTCCGCCACCCTCCGCTCCCTCGCCCGTCTCCTCTCCAACGCGGCCCACGCGTCCCCCACACAGCCACCAACACCAGCACTAGCAGTCCCGCGCCTGACAAAGCTAAGCGACTTCCTCCCAACACCACCAAAAACACCGCCCAGTCCTAATCCACGCGCGGGGGCCCCGGCAGAGGCCGAGTCCGCCTTGATCATCTCCAGCTCTGCCACGACCCTCGCGAGAGTAGTCGTCAGAAAGACAAAGCAAATATTGTGATGCGGCGCCGACTGCAGGATATCGAGAATGGTTGTGCGGTCTTCGTCGTGAGCCGACTCGTCCATCGATGACGCGTTATTCGGGTTGGCCAGGGATGGGATGGATGGCGCGGCCTGCTCGATGCGGTGCCACAGCTCGGCGGGTATTACGCCGTCGGTTAGGCCGCGGAGGAAGAGCAGGAGGGCCTGGGCGGTTGCTTCGAGGCGTTCGAAGGCGGGTGTTTCCGGGAGAAATGCAGAGGCGATGGAAGTGCCGATGTCAAGGGCGTCGAGAATGGAGATGATGTGGCCGGTGCGGGTGTCGTGGTCGGCAGCTTGGTAGGTGGCTTCGTCAAAAGGCCAGCCGGGGTCAGATGGGATGGTGCAGTCCTCTAGCATCTGAACGTCGGCGAGGACTCGCTGGGTGAGGGTTTCGATGGCTTCTGTGAGTTGGAAGAGTTCTTTTGGTGCGGGGCGATGGACGGGCAGGTCGTATGGGACTGCGCCCAGGCTGCCCTTTCCTTCAGAGAGGGATTGAGCAAAAGGCCGGATTCCACCGTCGGGGACACGGATGAGCTCTTCGATCGAGCGACCGATGCAAGTTGGCGCCCACGTTGCCCGGACCGGAATGAAGTGGTCTCGACCGTCCGCCACACGGAGAACCAAGACCTCTTCCAGAGCAGCTTCCCCATGGTTGAGCAGCCGGGCATCCGCAACGTCGTCAACCAGAGCATCGAGTATGGCAACCACTGTCTCCCCGGGCTCGAGGGACACCTCACTGCCCATGTCCACTGGCCCAGTATCGTCCGCGGTTGCCTCGGGATGTATAAACGATGTTCTCAACCATTGCAATTGGGATGTTCCGTCCCCCCCTGAGTCCTCGACGGTTGGCTTCTCGACAAAGGACAAGGTTGCCCGTACTCCGCCGGTATTCGCTAATGTTAAGGACGACGTGTATTTCTTCAGCATTCGCACTTCTCCAAAGGCAATGGATGCTGACGACTCGGAGCCGGTATGTCTGGTCGAACCTCGGGCGTCATGATGGTCCGCCACGATGGTGATTCCTGGCCGTCCTTCGTTCTCAGCCCGGTCTAGCTCTCGGGCAACCTCCGCGTGCACGTTGGCTTTGAGTTCGGGCACCACAGCGTCGTAGTCGAGCGTGAATATGCTGCTGACAGGTTTGTGATCCGACGAAGTTATCCGTTGATGGGAGGTGTAAAGGTCCAGATGTATCCTGTCGTGGCCTGTGTGCTCAGCAGTCTGACCGTCAACCCAATCTGGCTCCTCGTCGTATTCGTCGTACTCAAACTCGGCAGCGCTTGGTTGTTCATCGCCATCATTATCAGGATCGTACGAAAAAAGGACCTGGTCGTCGTCGCTAGCTTCTTCCAGTCCCCGAGCCTTCATTTCTTCGTCCTTCTTTCGAGCTTCCTCTTCCTCCCTGGTTTTTCGTCGATAGTCCTCAAAGTCCTTGCGTGTGCGGTAGAGTATCCGGTCGCACCAACTAGGGGGCCGACGCTTCTCACTGGAGTCGAAGAGGGTAACTGTGCCGACATCATATTTGTACGTGGGAAGGAAGGTGATGGGACCTTCCCGCCAGCCGTCGTGGAAGATTCTGCGCTCCTTAATCAACCGTCGAAGCTGGTCATGAGGCAGCAGGGAGTCGAGAGTGGCCTGGAGCGAGGCGGGGTCTTCATGCGGGTCCTGGGGGAACTCGTCTGCATCTGGGAGGGTTAAGAAGTTCTCGTCGTCTGGCTGGGCGTTGGCTGCATTGTCTTCGGGTTGTTGCCCAGACCGTTCACCAGGGCCGCTGTCCGTGGCCTGGTCGCCGCTATCCGCGAGATTATGCACAACGATAGGCTCGCCGTCGAGTGAACTTTCTCGGCGCAGTTTCCTCTTGGACAAGTCATACTCGCCTCGCATGTGGAGCATCAAGAGGCGCCGGATGTCGTCGCCAGGGAGCCGATCGAGGCGGAAATTGAGGTCGCCGAACCAAAACGCAAAGTCTTCGTCTCCCATCTTGGTCTTCTCTTCCTCCGAAACACCTGCAATGGAAACAGGCGCGAACCGTGCTTGATTCATGATTTGTTGAGCCTGGCTTATGCGACGATCAAGATAATATTCCTCAACGCCGCTCGCTAAGTGAGAATTGACAAACAATAGCTGCGTGACTTCCCCCAGCACAATCCGAGTGCACACGGCGCCCTTGTTCCCCAGGTATCCGAGAGCGCCAGCACCGACGACACTCGTGCTTATGTTGCTGATGCGTGGAGCGATCTGGGGCGAAGCGTAAACCAGCAACAGCATGCCGGCAAGCTGTTCGCAGGCAACGAGCTGATAGCCGTCCGGCAAGCCCGCCTCCAATGCCGCCTTCCACTTGCCCGCGGTCGAGTCGTCGGCGGCGTAGATCCAAGTCATGTACTGGCTAGGGGCCGTGAGGATATTAACCTCTTGGAGTCCGAGGACATACAGCCCAATCTTGTCGTCTTCAGCGAGGAACCCAGGAGCGTCGACGCCCGGCGAGCCGTCTTGATCTTCCCGTCCTTGTGTCTCCTTATGACTCGTCGGCTTGGAAGAGCCGAGCGCGGGGTCCAGCCCCTCCCCGTCGACGAACCATCGTGCCAGGTCCTTATCGGTGCCGGGGCACGCGGCAACGTTCCAGGTTCCAACCTTTATGCGTATGCGACTGCGACGGATGTACTCGGTCCGGCGGCCATGGACAGCTTTGTGGAGCGAGAGCGGGTTCGTGGAAAGGTGATCGGCGGCGTCGGTTCTAGCTGTGCCTGGACCTCTCTCCGGAGATCCCATCATGGCGGCAGTGGTATAGCTGAGACGGCACCAGCGATGGCTAATGCGACTTGTGGTGTTGTAGCGAGCTGTTCCCAAGGATCGGCGCAATGGTTGTTGGAGGTCATCTGGGGCTTCGCGAGCGACAGCGAACCACGTGGAGATGGAAGGGGGTATGGAAAGAGAGGAAGGCAATTGTGTGTTCTATATATTACAACTGTTGCACACAGTGCGCCGCGTTGCCAGTGACGGTGTTGCCTTGAAACGTGGATTTTGTTTGTCGGTCGAATTTAGCACAGTTGCAAGTGAGCTCGACCCCCGAGGCCCAGTTCTGGCACGCGAACGGAAACGTGGAATGGATGCGCGATCGGTGACGTGAGCGGGGTGTGGGCTGGATGCACTGACCCCAGCCCTGAGGCTCCGCTGGCGGCTCAGATGCCTCTTGTTGGATTGTGCCCATCGCGCGAAAAACTTCGGAACGTCTTTTCTTCTTGATAGCTGCAATTAGGCACAACCTACATCCGTAAAATCCAACAACCTCCGTTCTCTTCCCTTCATTCCAGCGGTTGCTCACTGAGATTTACGCCAGAGAAGGTTCTTCGTCAATTTTCTCCTGCCCTCCCGGAAGGAGGAGGGATAAATACACGGGCAAAGTACACCATTACACTGAAGGACTGAGCTCACGCAGCGAGTCTGGCCTCCCAACGGTGGAACAAGCCTTAGTAAAGTGGACAAGGGATGCAAAGTGATGGGATTCAGCCGTCAAGTTACTACTCATCTACGTCAGCAACTAACTCTCTAGCAACCTTCCTAGGCCCGAAAGGACGACGACGGCGAAGAGGAGAGGGAGCAGAAAAGGAAAGTTGAAGGGGCCCATGGCGACGCCCGCAGCATATTCCGGTAATCATCCATTCTAGTCATCATCTGGGCTCTCCGAAAGTAGCTCCAGAGCGCATCAAGAAAGGCCCGCAACCTATTCACCGCAAGACAAAGCTCCACCTGCTGTTCGTCGCATATTGATTGGCGCCCGATGCAAGCGCGCGGTATTGTCGATGTGCTGTGAGGCTGGGTTGTAACCTGTATTCAGCCCTTTGCACGAGCCCCCCTCTCCGCCACAGCACGGGCTGTACGTTCAAAAAGGTGCAGGCTGGGCCCTTCGAGGGAATACCAAATCATTGCTGCCTCTGACAGTCGACCGATGGACAGAACGCAGCGGCACCACGTCGCCCTCTGACACTTGCCTCGCCATGGTGACCTGGTTTTCTGAACGCGTTTCATGGAAGCAAATGACCTTTTTGTATCCCTTTCTCAATGGGCTCCCAGCTGCTGGCGACGCTTTCGCAAGCAAACGATTCAGTGCCGCCGATGAGGCGTCGGCCGGGCATCGCTGACATATTGTCATCGCGCAAGATCCGCTTGTGGCTGCCGGTCAGCCTATTCCTTCTCGTGCTTCTCGCTTCTAGCCGCCGCTACGATGCGCTTCCTAGCATCCAGGCGGGCTTGTAAGAGAGGGAGAACAACCAGGACAAGCAGAAATTGCCAGTCGCATCAACCAGCTGCAGCGGCAGCGACCACAACGAGGGGCTACCAGGGCACCGTCGACTGGTCGCGCTTTGCCTACATCCAGTACGTTACCAACAGGGGCTGCCTGTGCAACGACCTTGGCAAGGAGGAGTTGAAATTACTGGCCGTGTTCAACGCGGCCAAGTATTTGCACTTGTTGGACTTCCCGGTGCCAAAACCTTGGTTGCCGGTCGAGGTGAATGTCATGCTGGAGGCACAGCCAAAATGCCGTGTCCGGCAGGGAGTGGAGCGCTGTCTCGAGAGGGACCTGTGGAATGGGCTTCACGCCGACTTCAGGGATCGAAGAGAGGGGCGTTTGTTCTTTGCCAGGCCAACCCAACTTTTTGTTGCTGACCACCGTGTTGCAGCGGGTGTGCGGGGCGGGCGATGCTAACATGAAGTGGCCGGGACACGGGAGAAGGCCGAAGCAGTTTCATTAGCCCCCAGTATCGCAACAAGCCGTAACCGTGGCTCGGGAATGACAGAATAACGAAGCCAAAATAATCACATGATTGCGGCAACCCGGGTGTCGGAAAGTCGCCTTTTACGCACCCGACACGAGCCAACACCCCACATGCGTGCATACTTGCATGGGCATTGGTATCGTACGTCGACAGGGCGCTCATGTGACAACAAAGCAACCAAATTCGCCAGGAGTGGACGATCGCCCTGAAAGCCGCGGCATCATAGGATATTTGTGGCTTGACATATTTGGGTGCCTCTCGAGCCCTGTTTCACAGGTCGGGACCGGGGAACTACCTATCACAAGGGCAGATCAACCTCAGATCCTGGACTTGTGAGCTCCGAGCTTGGTGAGCCTTCACACTCTTGTCGCGGTTTTCTGCAGGCTCCAGCACGTAGTCGAGGAATACCCCAACAAGAGTCGGATTCGAAGGCACCATCAGCCAGGTCGCCATACGCCCAATGGACCGGCATGGCTAAACACGTCATGGTAAAACATAGCAGAGACTTACGTTGTTGCTCCTTGAATAATGATTGAGTTAAGTAAGAGCGGTAAACTGCGGCAGACTGATCAATCTGGCCAGCCGATGACGGCAATGGCTCGAGCCCAAGAATCATCAAGGCCGAGACTTGATGATCCCGAACCAGATCCGCGGAACTATCGATGATCTTCCTGGGTGTGAGGCCGACACACCGTAATGTGATATGGTGCTCCTGCATTCACACGGTAAGATATCACAGTCAGGCCTTTGCAGCCACTACGTCACTTGAGACCATTTCTTGAAGTCCCCGCGTTCAAAGCAGCAATTCTCCAGCAATCGACATGAGTCTCATACTAGTATAGATGAGTTGGGCAACAGCTCGAACTGACGGACACTTCTTTCGACATCCAACAACCCATCGCACAGTAGTCACCAGAACGCTTCATTCTTCCCAAGATCATAATCCGTTTCGCTAGCTCGCTCGCCCTCCTCGCCGTGGCAGGTCTCGGCCTCTCTATGCCACTCGCCAGACCGCAGCCTCAAGCACCTCCAGGATTTTGAAATCTCAAGCCTGGTTTTCAGATGGGCGCCCAAGTTGCGACAGACAGTGACATTCCACTTATCAAAGAGGGGGGTTCCGCGGCCATACAGGCTGCCCATAAGATCGGTCGTCAATTACCGCCAGGAGCTGAGCAGGCCAAGCAAGCTTGGAAGGCGGCCGCCGGATTGGCGCAAACAGTGGCATCTCAGGTTTACAACAGGCAGGTTTCCGCGGCCATGCAGGCTGCCGATATGGTTCCTCGTCAAGACCAAAGGAAGGCGCCTGCTGGGGCTGCCGCTGGAGCCGCGGCAAGCAGTCGCGTTCCAGGTTTCGAACAACTGGGAGGTTCCGCGAACATAGGCATCGTGATGGCTCCCGCTCATGGTCGTCGAGATTCAGAAGCCGAACCCAAACTTGATGGCACGGCACAGTTGCGGGAGTAACTCGAACCCCACAGACTGGAACTCGAATTGGGAGGTGACTGCCTGAGCGCCCCGAGCTTCAATGCACTCCTCTCCCGGCCAACGCTGGGCTAGTTATGTGCCAGATCCGACGTCGAAGATGATGAGGAGATGAAACCAGTCCGTGCTCGCGAGCATAGCGGCGAAGATGGTAAGCACAATGTCGAGCACGAGAACGAGGAGCGCGAAGACGACGGCAAGTCTAAGTCAAAAGGCGAAGGAGAAGGTGATGCTGGGGCAGCGGGTGGAGATTCGACTGCTGATGGCGCGAGTTATCGTGAATTTTTTCTCATTTTATGGCGGGGCGACCTCGGTATGCATTGGGATAGGGAATCAATACGGGCCGTGGAAAAACGGCTCTTACTGGGGATGGACCGCGTTTGGAGTGTTTGCTCGAGTATGTTTGATCGTCGGGTTCAATGAGCGTGATCATGCTGATGAAGATATTGCTCTGAGGCAAGCTGAGTTCTGTCACGTTAGGTCTCCGGTGTACGCATCATATCAAGTAGTGAGAGCCATCGCTGTTGTTGTTGTACTCAATTAGCGTCCAACGTGAAGCTGCCGTAGCCAACTTCGCAGATGCCTGCCTGCACGAAACGATTGAGCTCAAACGCAGCCTAAGAGCAGTCACGGCCACCCAAAAGCGTCATATCAAGGACGGAACAGCGGCATGGAATAAAATCTGTAAATCCTGGCATTGGCCGTCCCTATATGCCCAGAGGCATCTGCAGGCCTTCGGCCGGCCCGGACGTTAAGCGGTAACAACAACAACAACAACCACCACCACCACCAACTTTCTGGTCGTCACAGCGCTCGTACATCTTGGTGTCACGGTCTGTTTGACTTTCGAAGGGCACCAAAACGCAACACGTCGTTCGGAATTAATGTCCAGTCCGGGCCCTCATCGCGGCTGCTGCGGTGGCTTCCAGCCTCTTTCCCGTTGTCGCATGCATTGGTCTGGTCACCATCCCCGTCGACTGGGGCCACGGCATTCCCTCTTGGCCGGAGTGACCGTAGGAATGTATATGATTAATGAAAGCCTGGTACTCTGGGTAATCCCTAACGCTTCGCGATCTCCTTTCCAGGAACGTGAGGTGCTCCTTGGTCGGGGGTTTACGCTCCCACACGTCCCTATAGAAACCTCGGAAAATGGCCTCCTCCTCGTTGACTCTCACGAGGTTGCGGTTATCGGCAGGAATGGGCTGCGGAGGTCTCGATGGGTCCGGATCCTCGGCCAAGAGAGGAACTCGGTCAAAGCTTCTTGCTCTTCCTCCAGAAGCTGGTAATAGCGATGTGTAGTGTTGGCCCGGCAGGGGTGAAAGTACACGTTTGGCGGGGACTGGAGAATCGCTCTGCAGATTTTCGGTCGAAGACGGTGACGCCTCCTAGAAATCTGTCCTCTACCCAGTATCCAACCATGTCAGCAACGCCGTCGGAGTACACGTCGTGGGCCCTGTAACCATGGTGAAGAAGAGCGTCGGCCTTGGAGGCAAGTCGACCCAAATTGCGTCGGGTAGTCTCTCGTTCCACTGGTCGATGCTTCAATATCGCCTTGATGCATGCGAAGCCCGAGCTGAAAAAGCAATGCCCCAATCCCGTGCATTGCCACGGCAACGAGCTCAATTAAACGAGTGTTGCACAAGCGGGAGCCAGGACATGCTTTGCGAAAAGCGCGAAGCGTCTGGTTTGGTCGAATCAGGTCTATAACTGATCAACGGTATTCCGGGTCCATAAGGTACTAAAACGGGATCCCGGGCATGGGAAATGAGAACTTCCCTTGGGGTCAAAGATAGGATGCCTGGGTCAAAGTCACGTTGAGATTGGCGGGCCATATCAAGGACGCCTAGGCAGATCTCCTCATGCTGCTCGATGGGGTGAGCTCCGATAAGGTGGGAGTATAGATGGTCCCAGGCGACGTTAGCCGTCGACAGACCGTCAATGATTTGGGCAAAGGTAAAGAGCGCAAGCTCGGTCGACAGTACGTTGGAAATGGCACGAGAGAAAACGCTGTGATGCTCAGAATTGACATCATCGACCGGGACACGGGCGGCCTTTGCTTCGCGGGCTAGGGCGTTCAGCTTCGGGGTAATAGCGATCGGATCTATCGCTGATCCAATGTGAGATGATTCGGATGACCGAAGAGTGATGCACTGGCTTGAGATGGGGAGCAAGACAATTGCGGAGGAGAATCATGGGATGGGGCCCGGAAAGATGACTACAACACCTAGGATCTGACGGAGGACGGGCGTTTGCAGTTGCTTACTGAGTTTTGTCGCAAATCTATGAGTTGTCAGGTCAAGCTCGGCGCTCCATGTAAAGTGAACGCAAAACTGGACGTTAAATTTAATCATGGGGTTGGAAATCTGCGGGCATTCTCCTCTCAATTGCCTCCATGTCTTACGGCTTATGGCTGGATTATGGAGCCACGGTCTGACATGCAGACCTTACGCTCGACTTACAGCGTACGTGTTGTCCACTGAAGCTGATGCGTCGCGATGAGGCCGGGCATGCAAAGGCTTGCAGGTTCAAGATTAGAGCACTGATAAAAGAACCATCGATGGTAACTGTATTGAACAAATGTTGAGTGCCCGGCGGTTGGCAGCTTGCCAACTGCCAGAACAGTTCTCCGCGTTGACGGGACTCCGGTTGTTCACCCGGGGCCCCAGAGGCTCAGACCTCAGATGGCAGGAAGCCTTCCCCACAAAAAGCAGCTGTTCTTATATTTCGAAGTGACTGTTAACAGGGGCAGTCGAGAAGATCAACTTCACATCCAGAATTCTGGCCCGCAGTAACAGATCAACTGATCGCCACGTCCAAGACGGTAGGCGGCTTGCCGAGGAGGCGGCTTGCACCTCCCTGCTGTTTTTGGGCTGATGTTGCTGACGCAGGGTGTAAATGAAAAATGCGAATCTCATGATTCCTCTCGCCTTCCTTACCTTAGTTTGACCATGAAGGCAACAATCGCAGCTGATCCTTGCGCCGCACCGCCAAATTCATCCCGGAATACCTGGCGGACATGTTCATACATCGTTCGAGAGCTGCCGCGGTCAGGCACTTGGCCTGGATTGATCAGTCCTTTCGGATTCACGAAATAACAAGGAGTTGAATCTTTGAAGGTCTGACTGCCTCGGCTGTGTTTTTCCTACGGTCTCGAGCTTCGTTGACTTAGAGTGTATTATTGTCCCCAGTGCGCCGCACTCCCCTTTGGTCAAGATGGACGAAATAATCACTCCAAGACATTCACAATGACAATCGCCAGGTTGTGACGCCGTATTTGGCAACCGCAGAGTTGTTGGGCGGTTTCGAAAGTCAGGGTTGCTTCATTCTTCAACTTCATTCGAATACCCTGCGGTGACGTGCACCGACCGATGTCCCATACTGTGTCTGACTGTCTGATACTTTTTTTTGAGCCCATGTGAGCCCAGCCGTCGCGTCTGTGGACCTGGAACCCAGGGACTGATTTAGCCTAATCAAGCAACCCCTGACGGTCCCATCGTTGTTCGTCCTTACCGCATGCCGCCCCTTGGTCAACAACTGTAGCGGAGGCGAAGGGTAACCCGGCTCCCGGGCTCACTGTTAACGCTTGAGGTCCAGACCATACCTCCGTATATCCTCTCCCTTCGAATAGGAGTCAACCCACGAACCCCAGATTCCCCTCGATATGATAGTAAAGGCAAGGTACCTACTGTACCTATCTTCACACAAAGACAGCAGATTGAGGTCGAACATCGCATCCCTCACGTCTACTTCCTGAGCAAGATGAAACCATCAACGTTATTCTCTCAGCCAGAACAGCAGGTCCTGCGATGAGGTTTGCGGTTCTCGTGTTGCAAACGCTTGGTCATTGGTGCTACGGTTGGTGCCGGCAGGTCGGGGAGCGAGCTCCCGATGCGCCAACAATACACAGTCTGGCCACCCACAGTCCCAGCTAGTTCTGCTCCCAGATGGCCAACGCAAGTTCCATTGGTGCGTCCCGCAATCGTCGGGCACGCGTGATGCTGACGGGTGCTCAAGGAGCCGCGGTGCGGGGGCACATTCTCCGTCTTGTCCAGTCCCTTCAGGCAATGAGCCAGCGGGATGCGTGGGCCCATGGGACGCCCGAAACCTGGAAATCAGAACCATGTGGTCCAACAGGAAAGAGACAACCCTGGTTAGGCATTGCAGAAGCCGTTTCGAGGAGAACCCAGAGGCTTGGCTCTGCCGCTCTAGGAATTATCGGTAACGCTGCCGAACATTCTACGTTGTATTTGGCCGGACCATGACGTTCCGACCGTCCACCGGGGGCGACCTCGGATCGGCACCGCCTGCACCGACTCGGAATGGTTGCCGAGATGTTGCATCGAGGTCGCCCTTACCCCGGCCGTGGCACCGGCCAAGTACGGCTCTGCGATGGATTCACACCCAACCCCCCCGCATGCACTCCAGATCTTGGCCCGCCTCTTCGGGAGCTAAGGCCGGAGTACGACGCCGCGGCTCGTGACCATGGTTGGCATCGAAAATTCCAGTCCGGGCAACCAGGTCGAAGGAGGCAGTATATATACCTGCCATTTCTCACTTCCCAGTCGCCCATGAGAGCATTTGAGCAGATTCTCTCTTCAGTCTCCATCTAATAATACCTTGCACATCTCAACCATGAAGGTCCTCGCTCCTCTCATGATGGCCGGCGCCGCCAGCGCCCACACCATCTTCACCTCCCTCGAGGTGGGCGGTGTCAACCAGGGCCAGGGCCAGGGTGTCCGCATTCCCTCGTACAACGGCCCCATTGAGGACGTCACGTCCAACTCGATCGCCTGCAATGGCCCACCGAACCCGACCACCCCAACCTCCAAGGTCATCACAGTCCAGGCCGGCCAGACCGTCAACGCGATCTGGCGGTACATGCTCAGCACAACGGGCTCAGCGCCCAACGACGTGATGGACAGCTCCCACAAGGGTCCTACCATTGCCTACCTCAAGAAGGTCAACGACGCCACGACCGACTCCGGTGTCGGCGGCGGCTGGTTCAAGATCCAGGAGGACGGCTACAACAACGGCGTCTGGGGTACCACGAAGGTCATCAACGGCCAGGGCAAGCACCCCATCAGGATCCCCGAGTGCATCGCCCCGGGCCAATACCTGCTCCGCGCCGAGATGATCGCCCTTCACGGCGCCTCGAACTACCCGGGTGCTCAATTCTACATGGAGTGCGCCCAGATCAACGTCGTCGGCGGCACCGGCAGCAAGACGCCTTCCGACACCGTCAGCTTCCCTGGTGCTTACAAGGTATGGCTCCCCTCTCCTTGAGCTTCCGTACTTCTCAACAGGTCATTGCAGATGGCTAACATGGACTCTTCTTCTTCCATAGGGCACCGACCCCGGAATCAAGCTCAGCATCTACTGGCCTCCGGTTACCAACTACACCGTCCCGGGCCCCAAGGTCTTCACATGCTAAGCGGTCCCGTCGAGGGATGAGGCAGGCATCGAGAGGGGGCATTACGTGTGATAGCATAGCATTGCATTTATGGGAGCGGTATCAAATCTGGACGGACAGTAAGCTGTCCTTCATCTCCGGGCATTTGAAAAATTCTTGTACATAGATTGAATACTTGGGTCCCTGCGGCTGGATTCAAACACTGAGCGCCAGAATCGCCCTGACAGTACACATTACCGGATCCAATTGTACATCACTTGGTCAAACACTTCTTCATTGACCATACGATTGCCCGTGTAAGTCGTTGTAGACAACATTACCTCGACTAGACTTGAGGGATCATTGTACGCACTTCGCCTCGCTAATCCCCTCGCTGTCTTCGAGGTGTCGGGACGAAGCCGCCTTGATGGCTGCATTCAACGGACCTCGGTGGTTGATTGGTGCCAGCACTGCAACCCCTCTTTCTTACCTACTTAGTCCTCTCCCATGCCCATCAGCAGCATGGTCAATCAAGCACTGTTACCACCTTACATAAGGACTTGCTCACTCTGTTCAATCCACTGCTTTGACTCGGAATAGCTTCTTCCAGCGCATATCTCAGCTGTCATCGCCCTGCAGGTTCCAACACCAGGTAACTCCCAGACTTTGTTGTTTTCTATTCTTAGAAACCTACATAACTAACTACAGTAAAACACTCGTTCAATACACCCACTCTTTCAAACTCATATTTCAGTAGGGCAAATCACCTACAGCTATGTATCACCACGGATAGCCCCGAGTTATTTCGTCATGTGGTAGAGGACAATGCTGTGATCAAAATAGCAATAAATGGGTCGCTATTATAAATAGTTACTAGTTACATGAATATTTGCTCCAAAACCATCATTTTACCCGCTGCCCTCTGTCTCCCACTCTACTAGATCAGCCAAATTGTGTCTGCTTCCATAGAAGTTGTGCGGTTCTGGTGTTCGTTTGCCTTCCACAAGGGCTTGAGATTGGGCAGGAGCCTCGGTGGGACAACGGCAATGCACGCCAAGCTGAGAAGCATGGGGAGAGCGCCGACCACGGCGGATGTTATCCACCAATTCGAGACATCAAAATGAGCCTTGTCCCGGTAGAACTCGGCATTCTCAAAGTCCATGTACCCGCTGAATCCACCTTTGCACAAGCAGTTGTTGAACACGCCGCTGAACTGTTGATACTGAGCGTTAGCAACGACAACGGGCAATATCCAAGGCACCCTCGGGCCCAGGGGAAGGGAATCTGATTGGGGACTCACAGCAGCGAAGATGATGATCATCAGTGTTATCGTCGAAAGCAGGTTGAACGCATGGCACAGAACCTTGGTCTTCACTCCGGGGCGCTTGCAAGGGGGGAGCAGCTGGAAAAACCATGTCAACGAGCTCAGGATGCCGTAGATGATGTAGGATCCGGATCTGCAGGCGATTCCGACCGTCGGTGTGTTGTACGATATCATGATAGCCATCCCAATCTCCAGCCAGACAATGGTGAGCGAGGTAAAGGCGAGAATCCACCAAGGCATGGGCCGATGAGCCTGAAGTCTCCTCAGGGCTTCGGTGGCGATCTCGTTGGTAGATCGCATTCTCCGGCCGATGCCAGGTCCGTCGTATGCGCTCTGGACCACGGCGTACGCGAGGCCGTGATAGCTAATCTTTCTTCCTTGGCCGCTGAACTCACCAATGAAGTGATCAAAAGCCCTCAAGACGTCGTCGTTCTCCCTCTGCTGAGTCCACCAGTGTGGGGTGATAAGAGGCGTTTCCCGTGCTTGGGATTCTTCCCATTCGAGGACTGCATCGACATTCCAGAGCCAACGGGCGATGAGTTTTCTGTTAACGAGTGTGTTTTTAGTGGCCAAAACAGCACAAAGCTAGGGAGTCACTGTACCTGCTCCGGTCCGCCGAGACGGGGTTACGGTCGATGATGGCAAAGAGCACCAGAAGCGGAAGCCAACTGAGAAGGATTCCGAAGGCCATGGCATGCGCCGTCGTCCGTTCGCCCACATTCAGAGCAAACGCTAGGATGACGGAAACGGTGTAGGCGACGCAAAAGAGGAAAATGCTGAGGAAGGCCGGGTAAACTCCACGACGTCGCAGCATCCTGAGTTGGAATGCCATCTCTTCCAGAAGCTGTTTCGTCCAATCTTGAGCCCTTACGTCGCCCGTTGCCGGTTCGCCTTGATTTAACGCAACCAGGGGTCGGAACAGTCCATATGTCAGCGTTTCGAGAAACCTGTCTTCTAACCTCGGCAGTTGAAACTGGCCAAGGCAGCTGAGGACATAGTAGGCATTCATCTTTTCCTCTTTGAAACCACCAGACACCTGGCCAGAGCCGAACTCGACTGTTTCTCGAAGACATTTGCGCATTTGGTGAATGTTGAACAGCGTTGCCGTCAGGGCCGTCTGGGGAGAGCCGATCCAGTTGTTCAAGGCACCAAGCGTCTTCAGGACTCTTGATTGGTGTACGGGCTCCTTGGCCATACGTCCATGCAGAGAATCGTAGGGAAGAGCAGCGAGAAGAGCGAGGATGGGCAAAATCCAGTTGGAGACAATGCCAAGCGTCAAGCTAACGTCGGACTGCCAGTACCAGTCAAGGGGATCACCACAAATTACTTTGCAGCCTGCGACAGGTCGTTAGCCACTGTGAGGTGAGTTATGGGCTCAGATGGCTTGCCTGGGGTAGTCAGAGTGGTAAAGTTGTTCCGGAACTTTCGGGCATACTCGGGGTTCATGCCACGGATATCATCGAAATACTGATATTGGGAAATCGTCTCGTTGCTGATGCCATGCCAGGTGAGGTTGCCGCTCAAGATAGCATCGATACGGGCCTTGCATGCTTTGAAACCAGTGCCAACGTGGTCCTGTCCGAAGACAAGCGTGGAAGGGTGACAACAAAGGACTGCCACGACAAGGCTAAGGTAATGCCAGCTTCTGCGCGCCATGTTGACCAAATTTGAAGACGCTGTTGGCACAGTTGCCAGTGCATCCGAGTATCTTCGAAGGGCTCTTCCCGGCAATTAAACACCAATTTCTCCAGAAGTGCAGAGCCGAAGAGTTCCCCGTCCAGGAATCAGCCGCACAGTTGGCTAAATATCGGCTCGTCCATGTCAGGCACCGGTGCGCCACATCATCCGAGCAGGAAATCTGAGGTGACTGATAAGAGGAAAGAGAACCAATAAGAAAATGTGTCTCCAAGCCTTGCGTGAGACTCGCTGTAGTCCGTTTCGGAAACTCACTGCATCACAGAAAGCCACCGCCAACGAGCCAACACAAATAAGGAATTTGTACTTACCTGCTCGACTCAGCGAGCTCATGTGGCGTGAATGAACCGTATTGGCGAATTGGTTCGCGCCCCGCCGCCTGGTTTGACTTTGGGCTCGGTCGGTTGAGAGCATGCCGCTAGCCGGTGACGGGACTCGGCTGGGATCCAGGAGAAGCAGCCGGTCCAACGTGCATGAACACTCGTCGGAATACCCATGCTTCTGTTAAAGGCTTGTCTGCGTCGGCATCAATGCCGACGCCTCAAAATGCTTTTGAAACCCAAACCGAGAGTGGTAGCCGACGCACCATCTGCGATCGCCCGGACGCCCGCTACCTACCTGGTAATTTTCGAGTGCGGCTGAGTAGGTGAACCACGAGACAGAAGCCTCGCCGCCACACCACCTCAGCGATTCCAGTTTCTCGTCCATGACGGCGGTATGGCCTTCTGCAGGGCGCGGCCGCAATCAATTACCCACTTCTGAGGGCCGCTTGGCTCGAGTCGGGCGGGTGTCTTGTTGCCTCCGCTGAGGACCCAAGGTAAAGCGGGCAGTTCCTGGTTCTGAACGATACATCTCGCCATTCGACAGACGACGACGTGTCGCCGCAAACCGCTGGCGTGAGATCGTACGTTGTGAGCGGCGAGCAATGCGATGCGAGACGCGCATTACCCGAGGCACATTAAAAACCTCTCCTAATCGAGGGCTGAAGAGGAAAGGGGAAATTCCAGGTTGTTACTGGAAATACAATCAAGTAATCCGTACAGAACCTGCTGTTGTAACCACCATAAGCCGCCTGTAGATATATTATTGTTCTTTCTCTCTGCATGCCTGTGGCTTGCCCCGCACATCTTCCACGCTTGCTTGCAATGTCCCCGGGCCTAAAGTAACTGCGGATCTACAAGTACTGTAGTATGTAGGTAGGGCGGCGCAGATCAGCACCCCTTGAGTCTACTCTTACCAGGCACCTGACCTACGCTTTGCCTGTAATATGATAGCAACTAATGTGAGATGGGTAGCTCTGAGGGAAGACATGTTGCAATGCACAGTGGCAAGGCGAGGGAGCCTCTCATTCTACCTGGGAGGGAAAGCACCATCGGATCCAAAGATGTGGTCGCCAGACATGAAAGCAGTCCGGGCAACGATCAAGTACGCAATGGCGACCGGGAGATTGGATCTTGACGAGGAAGGACGGAGATTGGATCAATCGCAGTAGGGGAACTCCACTAACATCACGCAGCCTCAGCCAGCAGATCCCGCTTTAGCTGCTGAAGATAGGACGCTGAACACTTGGAGAACGCAGCCTCCAAGTCGATCTGCTAAACTAAGTCAAGAGGCAACAAGTGGCGTGAGAAAGGGGAGAGAGTAGAGGGCTTGTACGAGTTGATGATTGAACGTCAACGAATTGGATGTAGTTAGCGTGCCATGGCCCTTTAGGCTTCGCGCCTCCGGGCGAAATTAATTCCATCCATCCATCCAAGCCGTGCATTCCGGCCTGCGTCAGCGCACCGTTCTATTACGCCTTTCTGTCTCACGCCGCCTCTCTCGCTTCTCTAACTCGTGGCCCCGCTATTCGAAGCGCATTTCTCAAGTGCAACCGCTATAAACTCCACGGACACCTGGTGGCCATGGCCGACCTCGACCATGCTCAGGTATGCGTGCTATCCCGTTAATCACGCTGTGAGGCATTTCGGCCTGATTCAGAGATCAGACATAACTAATCGCAACCCGTCATCTAATGGGCTCTTTCTGCATGATCAGTCTGCCCAAGACAGATTAAACGCACTTCTGAGTCGAGACGACCCCGACCTGGAAACATGCTCGCATCGGCTTAACATCCTCGCCATCGGGGTCGAAGCACCCAAGGACGACTTCCCCGTCCCCATGACGCTCTACTACTGGTTGCCGCCCACCGTCCGGGCCATTACCAGAGTTACTGTGGCTCCGCGTCTGTTCTCCGTGATGAAGGAGTGTGTCTCCCTGGGCACATTCTTCGTGGGCGACGACCTCGACCTGTCCGAGATCTTTACGAGGCTCCTTACGGAGCGAGGCGAGAGTCCGGAATCACTGACGCCGCAGGTCCTTGCGGACCTGATCGCCGCTGGAGAGGTCTCGGTGCCGACGAAAGGAACCTTTATGCGCTTCTTCTCGTTTCCTGTATTCAGCGACGACCCCTCTCCTTCAGCAGTCTCCGGCGAGGGTGAATTTCGGGTGTGGAAGTGGGTGAAGCGGGAAAGTATAGACGTGTGGACCCAACAGCGGAATCGACCCCACAATGGAATTTTGGCACCACCATCACCACCATAATAAAAGACATCTAGCTCATCCAATTTGCAAGCAATCTACACACAAATCTGATGGTTCTACTCCTCTTCGGCCCGGCGAATAGTCTCTGAACTACACACAATTATCTCCTCGGCCTCCTCGACTGCGTGGCTGTTCTGTCGCGTCTTCCTCCTTTTCTTCATCGGGGACTTCATCGAATCCTCCTTTGCCTGGATAATATCCTCGATCCTCGCAAATTTATCATTGGCATTCTCTTTTACCTTCTTACGGCCCTGTGGCTCGTAAGCCTCCAATTCCTTCGTCAAGTGGTCAACCTGGGCTTTTAAAGATGCAATCTCAGCGTTCTTAGCATCTAGGGCCTTGCCTGCCTTGGCCAACAGAGTCCTTGTCAGCCGTCCACCAGCTTCCATGCCTTCCCTTACACCCTGCTGGTGCATACGGATGTCCTGGCTCTTCTGAGGTGTCCAGAACTCAGTCGTAGGCTTAGGGGGTGGTGTTTCCGGCCGTGCAGGAAGAGCCTGACTTTCCAGGACTGCCTCGGGATCTTCCAGCACTTTGGATGGATCCAGCGGCCAAATACCGGTGTTCCTAAACCCAGAGATAATATTCCGAGCAGACATTCCAAGCCTAGATGCATCCCTATAGCAATAGAGGAACCGTCGCTTGTTCACGGCAGCAGATGCTGTGAAGCTTGCCTGGGCCTTGGTAGCTTGCCGGAAGTAGTTTTTCAGAGCTGAGAAAACACTGCGGTCGAAAGGCTGTGTTTTGTGGGAGGTGTGAGCAGGCAGATAGACCAACTGAACCTTGTTTAGCCAAGCTGTAGCCATGAAGTCGCCGGTTGTATGACTGGAATGCTCGTCGAGGACCAGTAACCTCCACTCGTCACCTTGAGGCTTGGTTTGTGGCAGATACACCTCTTTTAGCCACTTCAAGGCAATCTGGCTATTGCTCCAGCCAGTGAGACTGTAGTCAAACTTCCAATCTGGGAAGTCTGCCTCTAGTTCAGCTTTAGCAGGAAACCATTGGCCCTGAAGGGAAGCCCCGGTGAAGACTACGGTTGGCGATAGTCTTACCCCCTCTGCAGTGCCACACTCAAGGACAGTAACCCATGTAGTTGTATCAGAGCTAGTTGTATAAGCCCTGTTTGTAAGGGAACTGCCAATGACTGTGCCGGCCGTAGTTTCGAGCTCCTGCATGCCACGCTCGTCAAGGTTGGCGATATTCGCGGGTACGATGTTCTTATCGCGGATATGGAACTCCAGCTTCTCATAGAAATCTTGGTAAGCGTCCCGTGTAGAGCCTTTCGTACGAGAGCTTTCCAACAGAGCTGATTTCTTAGTTTTGACAGCATCGTGGCGGCGTAGAAAGCGGTCGATCCATCTAGCACCCAGGGGCTGATGATCACCTCCTTCAGCCAAGATGGCCTGCGCGAAAGCCACCACCTGGCTGCGTCTAGGAGCCCTTCCAGACTTTTCTTCATTGAGGCGCCAGTCGACTACATGCCTCTCTTGCACAGGACTGAGCCGTTGTTCGTGGATTTTGGCTTGTTGTCGAGGGTGGGCGCCATGAAGCCGTCGGTTCAGGGTAGACTGTGGGATGCTGTACTTTTCCGCTGCATCTTTCTGTGAACAAAGGCCTTCTTGAACCTCGGCTATAGCCAATTGAATAAGCTCTTCCCGGATAGCGGTCATGTTGATTTTGGCCCAGAAGTGGATGAGTTGTGTTGAGTTGAAGTTAGTCATGTCTGGAATGGTGGTGCGGTGCCAGGATTCCATTGTGGGGCCGATTCCGTTGCGGGGTCCAGACGTCTATACCGTAAGAGAGGGGTCTGGGAGCCGGACTTGCATAAAGCCCTGGACTATGGGGAATGGAATGCTGGTAAAAACCTGGTAACACTCTCAGCAGGGGTGGCAGAGGAAACGTGGCTGACCGCAGTAGCCAGATACCGAGTGATCCCGACTCTGTAAGGCTAATTGACAGTGTAATAGTTCCACATTTTGTGTATGTCGTTTTAGGTGTGTTAGAGTTTGTTTGGGTATAATAAGCAAAACATATAATAAAGACACCCAGACGAGATCGCTACCTTTACTTGTACATAATTCGGCCACAGTAAAATATCACGCCAGAGATAGATGACTGAGAATATTGAGAAATCATCTGATCTCTATGATCTATCTCTGATCTCTGAGAATGTTGTGTAACGGTCTCAGGTAGTATATTGCAACTAGCTGATGACGACTCTACGAGTACACTGAACTTGCGGAAGGAAAGAAGAGATGTGAAACTCTGGTAGCTCGAGAGCCAATTTATCCTCACAGGTGTACGCTGCTAGAAGGTTCGACATTGTGGGTCGAGTGGGAATAGCTTCATCCAGGGGGTTTGGTGGACCGTGCTTATACGAGAGCTGGCCGAGGGTCATCGAAACCTGTTGGACAGCAACAGTTACAGGCTCGAATAGGCATAGACCAAGGAGGTGACACTGCATCAATTGAGGCACAAGATGAAGCTTGAATTAGCTGTCTGAACCATGCGTCATGTGTCTGTGTTGCTTTAAAGAACCGAGGGCTTCGGGACCCTCGCCAGACCTGCTTTTGGGTGGGTGACGAGTCTTCCACGCTTACTGCATTGGGCAACAGTGCCCAGCCCCTGAATCCAGGTGCCAAGGAGCCAGTTCAGTTCAACACCCTACACTTGGGCAATTGGCGGGCGAGACACTGTGGATTTCATGGCGAAGCGACATGACTCGCAACAGAGAGGATATCTGGAGAGCGGGGAACTCAGATTGGAACTTGGAACTTCCCTCTCTCAAGGATCAGTCAGTTGGTTAGTGGCGCACGCAAAATACAGTCGTCTTGTCTGCTACTCATTGAGGATTCGGTGCATCTTCCTTGGTGAGCCTCTGTGTGTCACGTTACAAAAGTACTCTGTATAAATATAATAATTATTTTCAATAACTTAGAGATTGAAATTTTCTAACGTTAGTGGTCCTCCACGTATCAGGAACAGTTCTGTCTAGGTTTCAAAAGAGCATTGTTCATAGCTGTTTATCTCATTGAATGTCACGGCACTGGACTGCCTACTATGGTTCTGTGACATTGAATGCCCTGCTCTCAGAGCTTTCTACACGGCACTGGACTGCCTACTATGGTTCTGTGACATTGAATGCCCTGCTCTCAGAGCTTTCTAAGCGATGTAATGTTCATAGCGAACCCTGGAATATATACTATACCCTCCAATCAGAGCAGCTGCTCACCATGAGTTAGACTCTTCAAGCAAATGTCTACTTATTGCTATAGTTTTTGTAACGGGCTGGGCCCGGTGCGAGCCTCGGCGACTCTCGGCAAATACCAAGACCCCTGATGAGGCTATTCCCACTCGCCCCACAGCACACCGAAC